GGATCACATTGCATATGAAACTAGGTCACCACTTGCAAACGAATAGGAGAGTTAAATGTGGACTCTTAAACATCAGATCTCTCTCTTCTAAAGGTGTACTAGTAAATGAACTAATATCAGATTATGATATTGATTTATTTGGTCTTACTGAAACCTGGCTGGGTGATGGAGAATATGTTAGCCTAAATGAATCCACCCCTCCCAGTCATATTAATACTCACATTCCTCGAGGCACAGGCCGAGGAGGTGGAGTTGCAGCTATCTTCGACTCCTCTCCTAAACTAAACTATAACTCATTTGAAAGTCTTGTTCTTAGTCTTTCGCACTCAAGTTGGAAATCACTGCAACCAATTCTTTTTGTTATAGTGTACCGAGCGCCTGGCCCGTACTCTGAATTCTTATCTGAATTTGCAGAGTTTTTGTCAACTTTAGTCCTTAAAACGGACAAAGTTATTATTGTAGGGGACTTTAATATTCATGTGGACGTTGAGAATGACAGCTTCAGTACTGCGTTTATCTCTCTGTTAGATTCCATCGGCTTCTCTCAGAGTGTTCATGAACCGACTCACTGTCTTAACCACACCCTCGACCTTGTTCTGGTGTATGGTATTGAAATTGAACATTTAGTGGTGTTCCCACAGAATCCCTCTTTATCCGACCACTGTTTGATAACTTTTGAGTTTGTATTGCTGAACTACTCGCCATTGGGCAAAAATTTCTATACAAGATGTCTGTCTGATAGTGCCATAGCTAAATTTAAGGATGCGATTCCATCAGCTCTAAATACATTATCTAGTCACAAAGTAACGGAGGACTCCTATGCTAATTTCAGTCCCTCCCAAATCGATCATCTTGTTGATAGTGCTGCAGGCTCGCTGCGAATGACACTCGACTCTGTAGCCCCTCTAAAAAAGAAAATACTAAAACAAAGACGGTTAGCTCCATGGTATAATACTGAAACTCGCAAATTAAAGCAAATATCACGGAAACTTGAGAGGAATTGGCGTTCTACCAAAGTGGAAAATTCTCGTTTAATTTGGCAAGATAGTCTTAAAACTTATAGGAAGGCCCTCCGTAATGCCAGAGCAGCGTACTACTCGTCATTAATAGAGGAAAATAGGAACAACCCCAGGTTTCTTTTCAGCACTGTAGCCAGGCTGACAGAGAGTCACAGCTCTATTGAGCCAAGTATTCCCATAGCTCTCAGTAGTTACGATTTCATGAGCTTCTTTAATGATAAAATTCTAGCTATTAGAGACAAAATTCATCAAGACCTGCCCTCAATTGGCACAGACTTATCTCTTAACTCAGGAACCTTAGAAACAGCTGTAGAACCAGATACATGTTTAGACTGTTTTGCTTCCCTCAATCTTTACCAACTAACTTCAATAATTTCTTCATCTAAACCATCAACCTGCCTCTTAGACCCCATCCCGACTAGGCTGCTTAAAGATGTTCTACCCTTAGTCAGCACCTCTATACTAGATATGATCAATCTATCTTTATCAACAGGCTATGTACCACAGTACTTTAAAGTAGCTGTAATTAAACCTCTTCTGAAAAAGCCCAAACTTGATCCGGATGTTTTAGCCAACTATAGACCTATATCTAACCTTCCATTTCTCTCTAAGGTTCTGGAGAAAGCAGTTGCTAAACAGCTGTGTGACTTTCTACAGAGTAATAGTTTATTTGAGGATTTTCAGTCAGGATTTAGAGCTCATCATAGCACAGAGACAGCACTGGTGAAAATTACTAATGACCTCCTTATTGCATCAGACAAAGGACTTGTCTCTGTACTGGTTTTATTAGATCTTAGTGCTGCATTTGATACCATTGACCATCAGATCCTATTGCAGAGACTGGAATATTTCATTGGCATTAAAGGAACCGCTCTAAGCTGGTTTAAGTCCTATTTATCAGATCGATTTCAGTTTGTACATGTTAACAATGAGTCCTCCATGCACGCCAAAGTTACTCATGGAGTTCCTCAAGGATCTGTCCTTGGACCAATCCTCTTCACTTTATATATGCTTCCTTTAGGCAATATTATCAGGAAACATTCCATAAGCTTTCATTGTTATGCAGATGATACTCAGTTATATCTATCGATCAAGCCAGATGAAACTCATCAGTTAGCTAAACTTCAAATGTGCCTTCAGGATGTTAAAACCTGGATGACCTGTAATTTTCTCATGTTAAACTCAGATAAAACTGAAGTTATTGCTCTGGGGCCTAAGCACCTCCGTGACGCATTATCTAAAGATATAGTTTCCCTGGATGGCATCACCTTGGCCTCCAGCACCACTGTGAGGAATCTTGGAGTTATCTTTGATCAGGACATGTCGTTTAAGTCTCACATTAAGCAAATTTCAAGGACCGCCTTTTTTCACCTACGTAATATTGCGAAAATCAGGAACATCCTGTCTAAAAATGATGCAGAAAAACTAGTCCATGCATTTGTTACTTCTAGGCTGGATTACTGCAATTCCTTATTATCAGGCTGCTCGAAAAAGTCCATTAAGACTCTTCAGCTGATCCAGAATGCTGCAGCACGTGTTCTGACAGGAACCAGGAAAAGAGATCACATTTCTCCTGTTTTAGCTTCTTTGCATTGGCTTCCAGTAAAATCCAGAATAGAATTTAAAATCATTCTTCTTACCTACAAAGCTCTTAATGGTCAGGCACCATCTTATCTTAAAGAGCTCATAGTACCTTACTACCCCACCAGAGCACTGCGCTCCCAGAATGCAGGGTTACTTGTGGTTCCTAGAGTCTCCAAAAGTAGACTAGGAGCCAGAGCGTTCAGCTATCAAGCTCCTCTCCTGTGGAACCAGGTTCCAGTTTGGGTTCAGGAAGCAGACACCATCTCCACATTTAAGAGTAGGCTTAAGACTTTCCTCTTTGATAAAGCTTATAGTTAGGGCTGGCTCAGGTAGTCCTGAACCATCCCTTAGTTATGCTGCTATAGGCCTAGACTGCCGGGGGATTTCCCATGATGCACTGAGCTCCTCTCTCCTCTACTTTCTCTCCCTCTGTATGCAACCTTATCCCATTATTGCATGTTACTAACACAACTTCTCCCCTTTCTGGTAGTCTTGTGCTTTCTCGTCCCTCTCCTCTCCTCCTATCACTTCCTGCAGGTTTTCTGGCTCTGGAGCTGTGGAGTCTGGATCTGTGGCTGCGGGTCACCTGCTGCCCCCGTGTTCCTGCTCGACACCCTCTACTGCAACGACTATTGTTGCTAGTCTTATTGTTATTATTGTTATTATAATCATTAACATTACGATGGTTACCATTAACACTATTATAAATATCTGTACCATTTTTCATTTGGTCTATAGCAGCATTACCTTCACTGTGTGTACCTCTGTGTGTGTATATTGTGTAGGCTGCCTCCCTCCCCTCTCTCTCTCTCCTTACATCTCTCTCTCTCTCTCTCTCACCCCAACCGGTCGAGGCAGATGGCCGCCCACCCTGAGCCATGGTTCTGCTCGAGGTTTCTGCCTCTTAAAAGGAAGTTTTTCCTTGCCTCTGTCGCCTAGTGCTTGCTCTTGGTGGGAATTGTTGGGCTTCTGTAAATATCATCACAGAGTACGGTCTAGACCTGCTCTTTTATGAAAAGCGCTGTGAGATAACTGTTGTTGTGATTTGGCGCTATATAAATAAAATTGAATTGAATTGAATTGAAATTGAACTTATGTGGCACGTGGCAATTTAGAAATGGGACAAAACAATATAACAAACACGGAGGATAAACTAGTTAGAACTGAAATTTAAAACTGTAATAAGTATATCAGTTAGTTCAACTGTAAGGAATGTAATAAACGTATAGCCTAATAATAAAGGGGAAAACAATTTGGATGCAAATTAGAGAATTTGGGTAATCTGGGACATTTTTTGCAATTTGTACTTCTGCTCCATTTTCCAATATCCAATAAAAATTATAAACACACTTTTGTTTTTGCCCCCATTCATCATGAGCTGAACTCCAAGATCTAAGACTTCCTCTATGTACACAAAAGGCCTATTTCTCTCAAATATTGTTCACAAAATCTGTGTTAGTGAGCGCTTCTCCTTTGCCGAGATAATCCATCCACCTCACAGGTGTGGCATATCAAGATGCTGATCAGACAGCATGGGGATTGCACCGGTTTGCCTCAGGTTGGCCACAATAAAAGGCCACTTATATATATTAAAGTCTTAAATAAGTCGCTTATAGAGTTTCCTGGCATGGACGCTTTAGTAGTAGTAGGAAGTAGTATTTTGATATGATTATGAGATGGTTAACTATTAATTCAATATGCTTGTTTTTCATGATGAAAATAAATCTCTATTCAGGTTTTGCCTCATGTCACAAGCATAAAATTGGTGCTTGGTTGTTTCTCTTCAGGCTGCCACTTAAACACTTCCGGGTCATTGAACTCCCAGAATAACATCTATTTTTAGCTGCTCTAGCAACATGTTGGTTGGTTGGCCCACCACTTTGGTCCAGACTTAAATATTATAACAACTAATGGTTGTTAGATTAAGATTTGGTGAAGACACTCATGGTTCCCTGAGGATGAGTCCTGATCACTTTTGTGATGCTCTGGCTTTCTCTCTAGCGCCATCATGAGGTTGAAATTTTATTTTAGTGCTTGGTGTCGTTCATCTATCATCTTTGTCTGCTAGCTAGGCTTTAAGCTTTGTTTTAACTTGTTTGCACCACCACAGTTTAATTAGCTGGTGCCACCATCAACCATGGCCTCTGGGTTTGTGGCTTTCATTTTTAAAAGGTTTCCAGGAATGTGATTCTTATTTTAACGTATTTACTTCTTTGTATTTATTTTTATGTTAGGACTAGACGCAATTTCCTTTTCATAAAGACCTGTATGCTTTTGTGTGTGTGTGTTCTGTGGTGTGAGAAGACCGTTTCCAGAAGATGACGGAGCCCCACAGGTGGGCGGTGCTTGGCAGCTCGCAGCAGCCAATAGGAAGCCTGGGTGTCGCTGTCAAACACAGCTGATCGATGAGTCAGGGCGAGAGCAGCCGAGAAGGTCGCACTTGTTGCTGAGCAGGAGCCGCCGCCGTCAAGCCGACATCCGAGCTCTGATCCATCTTCACTTTACATCCTCAGATCTGTCAGTAAATCCTCCTCAGATCTGCTCCTCAGCGCGAGCAGCCGCTTCAGTCCGGGATCTCACCGCTGCTGCCTCTTTCACGGCTCTCAGGTGAGACATGTCGCCATTTAAACCGCTTTTAGATTTGCTCCATTCAAAGAGGGGAGGTGTCGGTGTTTTAACTTTACCTGCCGGTGACCGTCGGACCTGTGAGAGCCGCTGATTAAAATGTGTTTAAAAATAACAGATCGATATCTCAGTCCTCTGATTATAAATATAGGCTGCTGTGTGCAAAAACACGAGCGCACTGTTATTTATTTGATAAAGTAGGTTGAATGATTGGTCTTGTAGTTTTGAGCTGATATAGAGCTGGTGTGCTAAATTCAGTCCGTGCCTGTTAATTATTGGTAATTAAGTGATAAATAGTAGTTCAACCATGACTAATAGTTAATAATCCCTTAATATGATTGTGAACTCGTGAAGCTTCCACTGACACACCGATGTTGCTGCGGAACAAAGGATCTAGGCTACATAATAAACTGTGTTACAGATCAGTTTCAGTTCAGGGTTCACTGAGGGGGTTGACTGGCAGGGTCTCAGGAGGTTTTAAGAGGTTTTTGTACAGATTACAGGAGGTCCCTCTTTTATGGGTCCAGGTTTTTTAAGCCTTCAAGGGTTCATTTATGGGCATTTCATGCAATTTCAGGCTTGTTAAAGTCCTTGAAGGGCTTGTCTGAGGTTCAGAGGTTTTAGGTGTGTATTTTAATAGTTTATTTCCACTATAATTAAATCTAGAGCTGAAACAATTAGTCAATTTTGTTTTTTTGACATCCTTGGGGAAAAAAACTAATATTTCATGTAGTCAGATACAAAGAAGGAAAAAATAGAAAAGGAGGCTATGTAGGCTATACATCACACCTTCAACTGAATAATAGCTCTTGATTACCCACATATAGGCTACACCTACACACACACATATATACACACACACACACACACACACACACACACACACACACACACACACATTTATGCATGTTTACCCATAATCATACCTACTTATGCACATTCAAAAACTCTGTTTTATATCTTTGAATTGAATATCTTTAATGAAAATAGTTGCAACCCTAAGTAAATCTGCTGGACATAATCTATGTTCCTGGAGGTTTGTATCCATGTGTGGTGACCTGCGCTTGTTTGTGAACACCTGACCTGCTGTGACTCTCCCTTAACTCAAATGGCACCACTTGACTCACAGATAAGACTGAAGTAGCAACACCTGGTAGACATTAGTGCATTTCAATTCAATGCAGCGTTTTTTATCCGTGTAAGAGCAGTTATATGCAGCAGCTAACCAATCAGATCATTAGACAAACAAGAGATAGGAAAAGAAAAACAGAAAACATTCAAAGGCTAAAAGCTTATTAACCCTAACCCTACATGTGGAACTGGTAATAAATTCATTAATAAATATTAAAATAAAACAATAAAAAGATACCCATGGTAATGAGGGTTGGAGAAGGCAGACAGCGGTGGGGATGAAGTGTCTGATTTATCTCAGGAACATTTAATCTGAGCTGCTGGTGTTTTACATTCATGATGGGTGTTACGGTTAACTTAAGAAGCTTAATGTTTAACCAGCATTAACTTTGAATATGAAGTGTTTCATGGATGAAGTCATAAAAGCATTTATGTCTCTGTTTTGTGCACCACATCCTAACAGAAGGTGTGACATCCCTCCGACCTGTTCAGTAACGCAACATCAGCACTCCCACTGTGTGCTGTGTGGTCACTGTGCATTGTGTAGCCCACACTGGCTGTTGAAAGCTTTACAAACCCCGACCATCCTGTCAAACAGGCTGAGCAAGTGGAGGTTCATGCTGCCGCATTACGCTGTCCTCCAGTTTAAATTAAATCCACTTCTACCAAATTAAATATAGCCAAGGGGAAGTTTTGAAGGCGTGGTCTGCGTAAAACATTTACGCTCGGTTGTAATCTGCTTTACTTCCTCCCAGCTGTATGTGTAATGATAATTGTGAAATATATATATATATATATATATATATATATATATATATTTATTTTTTTTTTAAATAGACAAGTGTTGAAGTCGCAACCCTTCTGATGATGCTACTTCAGGTTACGTCGACCCCTGAGAGGTCAAACTCAGAAATCCAAACAAGATTATTTTGTATTTAGTATGTTTTAGCAGTAGAGTGTAAAAAAAACTACTGTCCACACCAACCACAGATATAGAGCAGATGAAAATATCTGAAAAGGGACGTCTCTCTGAGATCCCAAGTCTAACTAATGCATCCTTTTCTGTAGCATCATCAGTTCAAATTCATGTTTGTAAGCAATTCTCTTAAAAGTATGTTTTTTGAGATGTTTGAGGGTTTCCAGGAGCCCTAACAGAACATTAATACTGTATTATACTGTGTTTTAAACAGACATGTTAAACACATTGTCAGTTGTGGTTAAAAACTTAAAGAGAAACAAACCCGTTAAAAGAGAAAAACAAACCCTGGCACCAAATTTTACCTCTACCTTCTACCTCTGTAGGAAGTTTCACACATTCTGAAAAACTGTAAAGCAGCAGAGCAGAAAGTTCAACATGGCAGAGATACCTTTGCTGCTACTGATCAACCAAGACTGTCAGATGTGGTTCAGTGGGTGAAGACAACGCAATACTGAAGACTACAAACTTACCATAACTGAGTCAAAGAAGACTTCCCGAGGTCATCCTCCATGTTTTCTGTTCTTGGCGTTCAGTTTATTCTCAGAGGTCAGGCGATTTGAATACTTCCTGCAGCATGTTTTTCTTGGCATTTTCCCTGTGGAAGTTTCTGTTGATGGGAACCTTTGTCTTGGTTGTGTCGTCATCGCTCTTGCCTATTACCCAGCTCTTCCTCGGTTTGCACCAAACAAATCGCTGTTGTAGCTGGAAACATAACATGCATCACTTCCTGCGTGTCAGATTTCCAAGGAAAGGGTCGACCATGCACGAAAGTAGTGTTTACTGTAGCAAATTTTACTTGACGACAAGATAATGAGTCTGATCTTATCTGAGTCACCAGTAGGCGTGAGTACACAAAACCAGGGGGGGCTTCCATCAAATACAGAATCAGTTTAACAAGTCATCACTGATCTTTTTTGCATAAAAACAACATGTTTGTGACCGTTAGCCCACGTTCAGTACAGAAAGACACAGTGGTTCTGTGTTTGAACTTAAATCAACTTCAGTTATGAAGGGCAGGTGTAGAGGATGGAGGGGAGACAAGACACTAGTTTTTTGTCAGGATTTCGACATTGGAGGACATCCAGTCCCCCAGAGTGTGAAGTCACCTGTAGTGAAGCTCAAACATGCTGTCAGTCATATTGTGTGCAGCCTTCAGTCTTCACCACACTGCCAGATTGTGCCAGCTGACTCTGAAATCATTGGGAAAAACTGGCATTTAAGGCTTGCCAGAGATGTTTATGGTGATTGATTTGACTGCGTTGATGCGTCACATCTCTTAGCACTGCTTTAATTTATACGTTCGTGAAAATGTGGTCCGAGTGAAGCCAGGCAGTTATTTCACAGGCTGGTTATGTTACGGATGTGAGACGTTTAACAGCATCACAAACAGTGCAGCTATCACATGAAATAGAGTAAGCTATTAATTTAGAATAATTTTGTCACAATGATTCTGTTGCCTCCCTTTTTCCAACTTGACAAACATGACAGTAGAAGTTATAATATCTCAGAGGGCCATGATGACTAAGATGCAGATCTCCCACGCAGATTGTGATCACGTAAGATGGAGCTGTAAATGTGTGTGTGTTAAACCTCTGTAATGTTTGATTCCTATGTGTGTGCGTGCGTGCGTGTTTGTGCATGTGTGCCCATCAGACTGGCACTCTGAGGCAGGGGGCCTCCCTCGCCGCTCCTGAGATGACTGGCATTTCCCTTGACATGAAAGCCCAACACACACACTGAAGACGGCAAAGCACACCTACACCTACATGTTTTCACGCACTGAAAACTCACTGTGGCATTTAGGTTGACACTTCAGCAGAGCCCTGGCTCCTTTGGCACTAGTTTATCTCAGGAAGTGCTTGTCTGGGGCGAGGGCGGTGCAAGTCATCTGGAGAAAGAGTTTGGGTTGTTGTGGTGATCGGCTTCTGTTTTGGCATGAGGAAAGTTTAGCTTTAGCTCAGCTGTCAGGTGTGACTATTGGGCAATACGGTCGATGTTGAGCGTGAGGTGTCGGTTTCACTATCAGTTCGGCTAACCGGTTGAAGTCAAGCCAGGGTTATGGTTGTGTTGTAAAAGGTCTGATTGGAAGATGAGACAACAATGCAGAACATAGAAGCAACGTTTATTTAAAGGTGTTGCTTAATATTTGCATATTTATATGTTTTAGGTTGATTTTTAGTTTTGGACTCTGGATTGTTATGATTTACAGGTGAGTTGGCTGCAAATGATCACATTTTCTAAATGCCTTTCAGGGTGGTGAAAGGTTGATTTTTGCTGAGACTCACTCTTCTGCTGCAGTTTACAGCTTGTGCCAGCTGGTTGGATTTGTAGATAACTTGCAAGATAGTTTTACAACGTAAAGGGAAGTAGTGGTAACTCTTTAGAATTCAGCCTGCAATTTACAGCGTAAATGTTTTAAATACTTTGTGTGTTACCCAAGCTGCTTTATTGCACAGAATGGGGAGAAGACGCTTGTCTTCCTGTGAAAAATTACATAAGTAAAATTAGTTCCAGTGCAGAGCTGCAACAATTAGTTAAATAATCGATGTGTCAATCGACTGAATATTAATTGTTCATATCAACTTATCATTTAGATCATTTTAGGTCATTATCTTTTTTGAGTTTCTTAATTGCGAAAATGTGCTGCTTTCCCTCATGTTAACATTATAGATTACTGAATATTTATGAGTTTGGACTGATTGGACTAATCCCGACCTTTGATGACATCACCTTGGCCTTTAGGAAATTGGGTTGAGCATTTTAAATTGTTTTATAGAGGAAACTTTAAGAAAAAAATGAGCAGATTAATCGAATATGAAAATAATTTCTAGTTAAAGCTCTATTCCAGGGATTTCAGATTTTGGTCTCTTGTGTATCAGAAATGTCAGAGGGCACAAACGGCAGGTCACTGGTTCAAATCTCAGGTTGTGTTTGGAAAATCAAAATGAAGACCCTCATCAATGCTGCTGCTCAGTCAGCAACAGGAGAAGCAAGCACAGGTGTGTGGTGGCAGCTGACAGGTGTGTGGTGGCAGCTGACAGGTGTGAATGAACAGCAGGTGTGAATGAACAGTCAGACTTCTCTGGATTAAAGCAAACAAGGGCCAGTTTTGCAGCTGACAACACATTTAGACTGAAAAATACCCTTTTCTTTCACAACTGTGATGTCATTTCCAGTTTCAGACATTTGAGAGATGAAAGGTGTGACTTTAGCTTCTTGTGTGTGCTGGACGTCAGTGTGTGTGTGTGTGTGTGTGTGTGTGTGTGTGTGCTGGACGTCAGTGTGTGTGTGTGTGTGTGAGGGAAGATGGTTGCTGGCGTGTTTGCGTGTGTTTTCTCTGCTTCTAACTCTTCATCTCTGTTGTCTCATTAGGAAGTCTGGTTTGATGTCTGCGTCAGTCCTGTATCCATGGCCGTGCGGACGTTACAGTCTGGTCTGTGGACTCCTCCTTCTGGCTTTCTCACCGCTCCTCGCTACAGGTATGACCTCTGACCCCACCTGTCCGCCCAAAACCCCTCAAGCCTCTGTTTAACTTATGTTATCCTGCATCACCTCCCAACATTCATGCATTCTTATTCATTTTAGCAGGCAGGCAAATATTTGTCAAAAATGTTCTCAAAGTGAAAATGCTTACTGACATATAGAAATTCAAAACAGTCAGGAAACACAGTCGTTAACGGATAAAATAGAGATTTCTCATATTGCATAATTTATTCAGTTTGTTGCATTTTGTAATGAATTCTTTGTTACACTAACTAATCAAAGGAGAAAAAAATGAAACATCCCATTGTGAAATATTTGTAGCACTTAATGGTGACTGTAAGCTGACTGCTCTCCCCAGCTAGTCTGCTGCATACCGTCAAACTTCAATAAAAAGCCTAGTCCCAGTTACTGGCCTGGTGTGGCTACATGTTTTGACCGATAAACCCAGGTCTCAATTAGACACCTGATCTGTTTTCTATAGAAGTTCTTTAGATGTATAAAACCTCTTAAAGCCCACTGGGTCACCTGCTTGAGCTAAGCCTCTTAGATGGTGCATACCAACAGTAATGTTTAAATATGTACATGCTTCACATTGTTAGATCTGTTAGATTCTCCACAATTCAGTCATTTAGTTCATTTTACAGAAACAATAAGCACCAAAGTATCATTTATTCAGATTTATAACGGCATTGTAAAGGAATTAAAGCCCTGTCATAGATATAGGCAGGGTGAGTTCAGTGACAGAAGCAAATAAAAGCCCGGGCTAGTAATTGAGGTTTTCTTGTATTAGTAATACTGCAACAGAGAATCCTTAGAAAACTGATTTTTCCTACTCATTCCATTGAGATACACCACAGCAGTACGACGATGAAACAACCTCAAAAACTTCTTCAGTGTGATTTATGGTTTAGTTGTAATTATGACCCAGATAAAAGTTCACCAGTGGTTTGGATTGAAGCACACAGTTTTAATCACACTTTTATGGTGACTGATTGCGAAACTTTGCGGCCTAAAATTTGAACTTTAGGCAGCTTAATGCAGGATGTTGCCACTTTCTGTGCAGCTCATCATTCAGCGGTTCAAAACAAACTGCCTTTTGGGACTGGAGCACAAAGTTGCTCAAAATTTGCCTGTGACTTTGTCTCCTTCCTGTTTCTAACTGCACAAAACAGTTTAAATTGCTTTCAGAGTGAACGCCTCTGACTTTTTTTCATTGTAACTTCATTTCCAGAAATTCTAGTGATTTTCCACTCTCAGCCTCACACTTGACCTATTCTTCACATGTTGATGTCTGGGGTTAAGGAGCTTGCGGGGGTAGTGGAAATCATAATTCTACTTAAGATGGAGGGTGAAGAAATAGCGGAAGTGGGTAACATTGCTGGCTGGGTAAGGCAGAGGTGGTTGCTGGCAACTATCTGATATATAATGTGTGCATTTCACTGAATGAGCAGGGAGTTGCTGGAAAAGAGCTCACAGGACGCACCGCGGTACATTCATGTGTACATACATGTGTAAATGTAGGCATCAAAATAAAGTCCTGACCCTCTATAGGGCCCTTTACTCACATGTCAGCATTTGTTTACAATATCACCTTGTAGTCCTTTCACATTGTACCAGCGCTCTTACCAGCTGGTGTCATCTTCGCTCATCATCGATCAGCCTCTGACATCATGTCTGTATGCTGCAGAAACAACAACATAAAAAAAACAGGCCTTCAGGTTGTCCTCGTGCCAATGATCACCATCTTCTGCTGATGGACACAGTAACTCCAGTAGAGAGGATATCATTCACGTGTGCCTTGGCATTTTGAAATCTATGAATTATTATCGCATCAATTATAGGAGAACAATATAATTACCATAAACACTCTGGACCGTAGCTGAAGAGACTGCTTTACAGCGCCATATGAGAAGAAATCACTGCTCTTTTGATGCATACTGAGATAAATCTTTCAGAGTTGATTGCAGCTTGTGGAGAAAAAAAATCTTCTATGAAGCCAAATAAAAACAAATGCATGTGGAGTAGTGCTGCAGAGATGGAGGAGGAGTAAGGCAGAAGAGGGTTTGATGGGAATTCTTTGTTTTCATTCTGAAAAATATAAACATTAACTGGTTGCAATGGTGTGAGGAACAAGGTTATTATAAGGTTAATAAAAACAACAACAAAATAACAAAAACTAGGTGTGAATATCTTTTTTTTTAACTGAAATAAAAATTAAAAACAAGGCTTTACAAAAATTTGTGAATGTCTTTAGTTGTTGTTTTTGTCAGTTTATTTTATAGATCCTACATGAGCCTAGTATTTTGGTTAGATATGAAATCTCTTTTCCAATTTCTTAACTTTGCCAGTTTTAGTCCGCGCCCTCACCTGGCATCATGGAGTCCCATTTAGGTGATCCCCTGGGATAGCTTTGTGTCTCAGATAAGAGCATATATGTGGGACACTTCTTAATAAAGGGTCGATTTCAGAAGCTTGCACAAGTAGGCTAACCTAGCTACCTTAACAAGGTAAGAGAAACAGAAGCAAACCCCAGTCCAGGCAGCTGATACACATCTTTTAAAGCTGTCTCTTGTGGGTGGTTGTTCACCTGTCCTAAGTGAATGCATTTTTTAAAATTGTATAATGTTGAGATTTTATTACACATTATGAATCTCGCCCCTGACAAATGCGACATATTATAAAGAAATACTGAAACTAATAAAAACCTAACCAAAACTAAGCATTTCTCAAAACTAAAAACTAAACTAAACTAGCAGACCCACTTTAAAAATGAATTAAAACTAAACTGACCTCCAGTGCACACAGGCAACATGTCCCCTTTTTAAAAACCTGCTCTTATCGCTGTGTTTGGTGTGTCTACAGGCAGACTGAACAACTGCACTCACCCTCTGGTGCCAGAACATGGAGGTTTCCGCTGTGATCCGTCCCCGTGTCGAGGTTTCCCCCAGAAGAGCTCCATCCATTTCTTCTGTGAGCCCGGATACCACATCAACAGCAAGATCCGTGTCTCCAGGTGTCGCCACGGAAAGTGGCTGCCTCCAATACCCGCCTGCATCCCAAATAAAGGTAAGAGTTTAGAAGTCTTGTTAAAAGTAATATAGTATTTATGTTTTCTAAGGATCTGTTGAGGTTGAAATGTTTTTTGAGGGGAGCATACGTCAACTGCATTAAACCTGTTTGGTTTTGACGTGAAGTGAGTTCACTTTTCTAATAATTCACGTGCAAAAAGTGAATTTGCCTATAAGGATTTATCGAATTAAGTGTTCAAGCTTTGTGTTCAGAAGATCACTCGTTTGAATTCACTGAATGCCAGAAACAATCTAGGCTGGAAACAACTTGCCCATTAACTGAAGAGTCTATCAATTATTTTTTAATGTAATTTTTCAAGAAGAATGCCAGACTTGTCTTCAGTTTCTTGGGTGTTAGAATTTTCTGCTTTGTTACTCTAGTTTGGTTAGTCGGACAAAATAAGTAACTTTGGGCTATGAAAAGTTGCAACAGACAAATTATAGAAATTTCTTAAATTAAATAATTAAGATAAATAGTTTACTGTTAGTTGTAACCAAACAACAACACTGTGCTGGGAGTGTCTTCGATCCGAGACTACCTGGTTATACTTTGTGTTTTCACATCAGTAAAAGAAATACTCACTAGGTAGTGGACACAATGAAAACCTGGTTTTATAATTCAGTCATTGGTGAGGCGGTGTTTTATTGTGTAAATGTTCGGGGACTCTTCCTACAAACCTTAAATGATAATCAGATTCATCGAGTGTTTTATTTAAAATACTTGGGTCAGTCGCAGCAGAGAGAATATTTCAGTCTCATGGAGCTCAGTGGGTCGCGCACAAACAGCCAGGTTAGTAGGTCGATACCCTCTGGGGCCTCTATTGTTTCCACTTGACTCTTTCTGGGTACTGAGTTTGGAGTGAAGTCATGTGACTTTAAAATTCCTTTCTTTGTTAGTAAGCAGATGTTCTTGGACGACTCTAAACATCTCTTGACATTTCCCAGTACTCCCATCACAGCATTCCTCAGTGATTAGCTCAGTTTATAATCTATGACTCTTCATAGCTTTGACTCAGATGGTTTAAAGGCTGATTAGTCACTTTGTGACAGTTCCTTCTTGTTTCGAGTGTTCAGGAAACAGATGGCGTGTCACTGTTGTGGTTACAGGGTTTGATTCCCAGTGGGTCTACTTATATGTAAAATATGTGTTTCAGCCAATTCCTGATGAGATGCGGTCTGGCTGTGTCAGACGTCTTAGAGGCTACTGGGAGTTTTATAGTGCTGCACAGCACTGTTACGTCTGTAGATCTAACAGTAAAACAGTACATTTGAATTGATTTTAGGTTGTATTCATTTTGTTGTTGCTTCAAGAACTAAACTTTCCCACTGCAGTCAACTGAGATTGGGTTTTCTCTCTATCTCACTAATGAATGAAACTTTAATCAGTAAGATCAGGAAGAAAGGTCAGCCTTCATTTTGGGCCTCTGAATATTAAAGTGTGGTGAGGCTGAGGCCTGATCCCTCTGATACAAACCCAGCAGCAGCAGCAGCTCACGTTCATCTTTTGACCTACTTAACAGAAACGCGCTCAGACACTCTGCAGGGGAACTTGAAGCTTTACTTTCCTCAGACCAGTTCCGACTTCCTCTGTCGCCATTCACTCAAACGCACTGCGACAGGAAGTCGGAATGCAGAACGAGGAAGCGGGCGAAGCCACCATAATAACCATTAAACATTTCCTCTGTGTTGACGCTGTCACGGCCTTGTGGAAAGCTACTGTCGTATTATCATGGGCACAGAAAAAAACACATCACGAGATTAAAAACTTCAACTCGTAGATTCTTGTATTTGATAATCTTTTTCTGTTAAACCTGTCTAGCCAGAATACCTGGGTTTTTCCACAGTAGTGCACCACAGGTAGTAGGTAGCCACACATTTAGACTTTATTTCACAGCTTCAGCTCCTTGTCTTAAAGTTAAATTTACCTTTTTGCAATTATATAACCACCAAAACAATGTTTTAAACACAAACTACATGCACACACTTTGTAATTCTGGGTCAATGTCTGATTTTTCTGTTGGATAAATGGTCAGAAGAGATCTTTTTGTCCTGTTGCTGTAATTAATGATTAGTAAATAAGTAATAAAACATTCAATCCACACTTACATAAAAAGGAAAAAGCAGCACATTTGTGAAGCCTGAAGCAGCAAATGTTTGAGTATTGTTGCTTGAGCTGCCAGCATTCGACCACAGATTACTTCCTCTAGGTATCTGTGTGGTATCTGTGTTTCTACTCTAAATGTCTGTCTTTTTTCCCCTCAGAGGGTCCTAATGTGAACTCTGACACCGGAGTGAATGACTCGATGCCAAGCATGGCCACAACAGCGGTGGGAGTGTCCATCTTTCTGCTCACCACCACTGCCTGCCTGGTCGTCAAGTCGCGCCTCTACCCCTGTCAATCACACAGGTAAGGAGATCATTTACTGCAGTGATTTTGGAAATATTGTATAGCAGCTCAGCTAATTTGAAAAGCAGAAATTGTGGTTTAGATTCACTTCCACAAATTTCTTTTTAGAAGGAAAATAAAACTCACAAAATCATTAAAAACTCCACGAGTCTGCTGTAACACCTGAACACCACATGCTGCAATTGAGAGTTTGCGAAAACTTGTTACTGTAGCATATCAAACGTCAAAATATTCCCCACTTCACCTTTACAACAACACCTGCTTATTCTACATTAAGTAATTCTCTCTCTGTCCCAGCAGCCGTCGCTCCTCAGACCAGCTGGACCTGATGGTGGATGGACTTCCTGTCTCTCTCCCCTCCTATGAGGAGGCGGTGTACGGCAGCTGGGGGCAGCGTTTGCCCGCCTGCTCAGCACCTGGACCCACCCAGCTCCTACTTGCTCAGGAGGAGTCTCTCAACAACCAATCGGACGGCAGTCACCGCCCCCTCTTGTCCAGCCAAAGCCCTGACAACCCCCCTCCCCCTTACGAGGAGGTCCAGTCATCACGTGCCAGAGATAGGATAAGTGACGGGGACGTCCGGCAGCTACAAGTTGCACTTTCAGATGACAAGGACACTTGATTGTCAGAATGAGGGGTTCATATGTGACACACGGGGTGCAGTTGTTAAGCAATGAAGGCACAATTTTGATTGACAGCTGATTGCTGCAGTGCAGTGTTTACTCTGCAGATGATAAAAGCCAAATGATGGCTGAAAAAAAAAAAAAAAAAACGCGGACTGACAGCAGACTCCTGCACTTTTTCTGGTTGGCTGCAGCTCACCAGCATCGGGACACACTGTCCTATCACACGCTATTTTAGACAAAGCTGATAAGCTCTGACTGGCCAGTTGTTGGGTCACAAAGACCTGAGAGGGCTGAAGTGCAGTAAATTAAATGTTGATTGTATAGTTTATTGTATGAATGTAACTGCCCTGGTTTTAGTGTGAACAATGCATGTCATTGTTTGTGAAAATGAAAACCTTTAAAAATCCTAAAACGTGGTTTTCACAGGACAGCAGTAACATGAAAATGTAAGTGTGTGTGTGTTTTCAGTGTTGCTCTGGAGACATCGTCTATCCTTCCCGTCAGTGACGGGGCCAATCGAGGCTTCCTTCGTGAAGTCAGGGGCGTGCTGTTGCAAAAACCTGTGTTTCCACAGCAACTGACTCCATTTCTATCTTTTGTACAGCATTTCTCTTTGAGTCTTATTGGGCTGTGGCGCACATATTGTGGATTTGAAGCCAGCATTGTGTGCAGTCACTCCGGTAATAAATGGTGACTCAAATTGGACCATGTTTTGATGTTAATTTAAAAAAACATGTTAATTAGTGTACAGCAGATATTTAGACTTGAAAATGCTTTGGAACCAAACAGTCTTTAAAAGTGTTTCTCTTGTGTTCATTCCGTGGTGAGTGAAATAAAAATGAATAATACTATGATGAGTTTAAATGTACAGTAAAAAGAATCTTTCTGCTCGCTGACATGAAATAATGTTTTTTATATATATATATATATATATATATATATATATATATATATATATATATATATATATATATATTAGCACCGGTGGAATCGTTGTAGACATAAAGGTGGTTTTATCAAAATAATCCTCTAAATAACAGTTTTTATTCCACAACCTGCAAAAAAAGCACACAGATGTGGGACCAAACTGCCCAAATAACCTGAAACTCCTCAGCGATCAATCGATTTCCTCACTTCACCAGGCTGATCCCTCTCTGCCACCCTTTGACTTCTGCAGATCAACTGACTCCTTTACAGACCTTGAATGTATTTCATGTTTCATTTTGTGGCAACAAATCTAACTATTCTATGGATTGTAATATTTGCATAAAGATTATTTGTATATTGTATTATTGCACAGAATTATATGAAGAATAAATGTTGAAATGTTTCCTTGTTTGACATCCTGGTCTTTGTTTGTGACATATGCTGCGTTCCAGGCAACTCGGAACTGGCAAATTTCTGACCTCCAACTAGAAAAACTACCCTGGAACGCCACCTGAGGTCGGATTTCCTACTTGTGTACTCTGAGAAAAAATATTTACCCCGACTTCATGAGTAGCAGCTGAATTACGTCACAAAACAATGTCAGCGCCCATGGAAGCACACACTGTAAATGGTAGCCTAAACCATAAACTAAAAGTCAACAAAAAGTAGATTTTCATGTATTTAAATTAAAATAATACATACAATCATATAGTAAAACCTGTTCTGCATACACTGATGTAGAAATATGTTAGGCCTATTAGGTAGCTGGCTACAGTAAAGAATCTCAAAGTCATCTTCACTGCATAAAAGTTATTGTTAAAAATGCCAAAACATTAGGAAGTGTGACCTACGACATTGACTGACATGAGGATCACCAACTGATGTAGCTAGAGGGGTACACAGAACTAGTAACGTATAGGCTATTTATGTCAGTTGTTGCAGTTAAACTGCCATCCTTTTAATTAACACCTAAAACACTGCTGAAGGTGCAACTGTGTGTACACTTTGTCACGGTCAGCCATGGTTTTCATTCACTTTCGGGCGTCATACACCACCATGCACCTGGAACACTTGGAGGTCGGAAGTCGTATATTTCAACTTGGACATTTCCCAGTTCCGAGCAGTCTGGAACGCTGCATTAATTTAAGTTAATTTGCATCACCTGTGTTTGTCAGTGCTGCAGCAAGACACAGGACACACTTGGTGTGTTTAGCACAGCACATGGACAGAAACCTCTCCCAAAGGTAATTTCACTTTTTGTTTGTTTTGATTTGGGAACTCTGCTTTATAGGAGAGCAGCTGCTAACAATAATACAAAAAATCTAATCTAACTGTCATTATCTTGATTACATTCATACATCCTTTCAACTTATAACTTATTAAACTGATTTGCACACTGTCTGCATGGACATGTTTAAACAGTATAGTTTTTATTTGTTTACTTTTGATTCTTATGTTTAATACTTCTTTTGAACTATTCTTGTGTGGTCTGTTTGTGTACTGCTGCTGTGACATGAGAACTTGCCCCCAGAGATAGATGAAGTATCTATCTATCTTAGTCTGTAACACACTTCTGAATCATCAGCTGAAAAAAGACTCACATAGAATCTGATATTTTCTTTAAGACATGTCTGTATACTGTATGTTGCAGATCCTGCTGATGAGCCTTTTTCCTCCTCATGAGTGTTCCTGATCTGATGGGCTTCTCCCGCTGCTGCAGGTCAACACATGCACCAACACACTTGTACGTAACTCACAACCTTTACCCTTAACCCAATCCTAACCTGAACCCTAAAACCAAGTCTTAACACTCAAACAGCGTTTCTAACCATAGGGACCTCAATTTCCCCATCAGTTAGTGTGCATTCAGATTAAAGTCCCCACCAGGATGTTAAAACATGAAACACACACACACCCCACAACAAGGTAATGAGTGTTTTCTTCTGTGTTGACAGGAATAGAAAGAGATGAGCTCAGTAACAACAGTATGTTGCTCACTTACCCTGGATGAATAAAGAGAAGTGTAAAAGATAAAAACCGGTTGAGTGAGGTCCAGCGGTTTGACTTTTACTTCAGGTATCAACAAGTTTAGATATTTAGACAAATTGGGCTGACCAGATTTTGAAGGGATCTTTACTTGTTTTGATGTTCAGATACTGTGCAGCCTGCAAGAGTTATAAAGTGTGTACTTATACAGCTGTAGCCTTAAAATCACCACCGCCTTTCATTCCTTTCACGAGCTGATAAAATGTGGAAATATATTAAATGGTTGATTTTTGTTTAGTGATTATGGCTTGTTTCGTTTTGCCGCCTTATGTTTATTCCAAACAAACTGCTGCTGTTGCATCCATAAACATGAAACACATCACTTCCTGCGAGGCAGAAGATTTTTCCATTTAAAAACAGGATAGTGATCCAAATACTTATTTACAGGAAAATGTTATGAATCATTCCCGTAAGGATGATTATTACATTGACCGAATGCTGTATGACTGTATGGTGTGTAGTGGTGACATGTGATGGTAGAAACTTCCTGCTTTTAGTGTGAATCTAAGAATGTTTTGAGGATTTCATCCAGCTTGACCAAAAGGAGAAGTTGGTTGGATGAGTGTCAGGAAAAGAAAAGGAGAAGAGGTTGGTCTCGTTTACTGTAAGCAGTCACCTGTGGTTACAGTCAGATGAATGAATGTCAAGTGGACAAGTCATTGATAAAGACAAACCAGCATTTCCCAATACAAATGGTTGACAGTACAATGGTGATTTAATTTGAAATCTTTATTTCAAACATGCAAGAGAAAGTATATAAAAAAATATATGTATATATAATATATAAAAATCACAAATACAACATTCTTCTATCACACGTGCGAAAAGGAGTAGGAAGAAGTAAAACTTATGTACTCCTTTAATTCTTACATTCCTTCAATTTACAATATTTTATGATATATATATTTTCCCATATACACAATATTAAAGTGACCACTGACAAGTATTTATTTATTTGGCCTTGAATATGTACTTATTCAAACAGCAAAAAATACAACAACAAAAAATAAACTAAACAAAAGACAAAAAAATGAATTACATACAATACATTTACTCAAGTACTGTACTTCCTTTTCTGCTACTTTTGAATTAAACTTCACTACATTTCAGGGGAATATATTGTACCTTTTACTCCACTACATTTAACATGAACACAACATAAAACTGTAAAACACAATGTATTTTTATATATTGAACCAATGGTTCCCAACCTTTTGGCTTATGACTTGTTTGTGGGTGAACCCTTGTCACGTTTCAGATGTCTGGGTTGTTGGCAGTACCCCTCTAAACTTGTCAATGGTTTCATTTAACTAAATGATATCATCCAATGTTTTACAAAAAAAAAGAGAAGTAAAAAAAAATGCTTATGTATAACTACTTTTCTCTGCCATCAATCATCCCACAACCCCTCTGATTGATCTGGTGACCCTTTTGGAGCGGCCCGACCCCTAGGTTGGGAGCTACTGGACTAAACTACCCAACCATGTATAAAGTAACTACTTCATATATCCACCTCGAGCAGCTGCTCTGACATTGATGCATCACTATTAACATTAATCATTCCATGTTCGTTTGTTTAACCCCATTCAGCTGATAAAATGTTTCTGTTTACTGAAGTAGGATCTAAATGCAGGACATTTTGCTTTTTGTAATGAGTATTTTCACATTGTGGTATTGGTACTTTAAGTAAAGGATGTGAATACTTATTCCACCACTGCCCAGTACAACCACATACTGTAAAATGACGGCAACAGGATGTGTTAAAAGAATGTTGCATTGCTTTTAGTCACTTGAGCTTTCCTTCTGACTACCAAACATTGTACTTTTTTCTTCTGGCCATTGCCACTGAGAAATGAATTGACTCGAAACGGCTCATGAGTCATTTATAAAGCAGCATTAGGTAATGCGGACTACTGACCTGTGTTTGAGGACCTAGACAGGAATGGACTGAATTGCAGAAGTCTTAACAGAGTGAGGAAACCTAGTGATGCTTTAATACTTACCAGAAGTAACGAAATGTCATCCCTGTACAAAATCTGACTCTTTCAAAATGGGTTTTATTGCAAGAAGTGTGGGGTTGCAGGATTTCTCTCCTCCTGTTCTCGTTCCAAAAACATTTGGAGATTTTTCTTCAGGTGACCAGTGTGATGACACCAGAATGAAAATGTGCAGGGTGAATTCAGTTACTCAGTCCGAATTTGTGATTTGATTGATCATGTATGTATTTGCTTAATTACACCAGATGTCTGCCTCTGGAGTTTGTGCCTTCCAGCTCTTGATTGGCTGAATACACCTGGTTGAGCTAATCATATGTAGGTAGAGCAGACAAGTTGAAAAGTCACTGCTTATATTCACATCCACCTTTTTGAGAAGATTAAAGCAGTCATGCAGCAGCGGAAGAAGTATGAAGAATGTAAAAATATTTAAGTAAATGTGCTGCATTGAGAATGTTATAAATAAATATTGCTAGTGAAATGTATTTAAACTATCAAACACTCAAGGCAGAAAATTACCTCTGATACAGTATATTGTAACATAGTTAGAATATTACTGAGCTGTTGACCTATTCAGATGTAAGTAGCATCTCAGTGTTGTCTCTTAATTCGGGTAGTTTAAACTGTAAATCTGCAAAGTAACTAAGCTCTGATATAAAAACAGTGGAGGAAAAAGTACAATATTTCCCTCTGAGAGACAATAGAGTAGAAGTACATTTCCAAAAATAGCCACACCCAAGTAAAGTACAAGTACCTGAAATTGCACTTTAGCACAGTATGTGAATCACTGTTGGTCACTTCCCACCACTGCACTCATGACACAATGCCAAACAGGCCAGACTGGGAACTTCTGTATTTGCATGAAAGCACACACTGCTGATGTCCCTATAAACTTTTAGATTTTATTTTGTCAAACATTTGCCCTGATGATGAAGGTTTAGTGACTAAAAGTTTTGGGTCAATATTAAATATTAGCATGTGTGCAGTGACTTCTGTTCTCTGTATTATATCTGCAGTAAAATGCTGTGACTGACTGACATTATTCTGACATTAGATTAACTGATGCACCAGTGTGTAGCATTTTACTGTCGTAGCTGCTCGAGGTTGAACTATTTTCTATACAGTTAGGAAGAGTAGTCTGGTGGTTCTCAACCTGGGGGTCAGGCCCTTCCAAAGGGACACCAGATAAATCTGAGGGGTCATGAGATTATTAATGGGGGGGAGATGAAAACAAAGTTCTCAAATTTAAATCTTAATCTATTAGATTACCTACTTTTGCTTTAGCGAAATGTTGGATAATTTGATCTATTTAGGCTTTGAACTGTTTAAATACAAACCATGTGAGAAGTTTAGAGCGCAATAGCTCTTAAACATCTGAAATGTGACAAGAGGCCCCAACCAGACACAGCTTTTTTTTTTTTCTTTTTTTAAAGAATTCTTAATCGAAAAACATTAGGAACCACTGGTGATGGCAATTTCTTAATAAACTCTTTCAGGCAAGCACTTGTCTTTCTGGAGGTTTATTCAGGTCATCTGCAGATGGACTCAAAGCGACGCATACATCAGAGTACACGAACGCCCGACAGAGTATAGACAGCTGAGAGAGCCTGTTATTTATCCAGCTTCAGGGTCAAGCGTATCATCTCACAGACACGTTGTCCCTGAAATCTGAATAGCACAGGGAACAGAGATGATTTGACCGTTACGTTCACACATATTCAGCGCCACATTACATGCAAGTCCAGGGGTTACATGAATCATTACAAACGGTCAATACATCAATATTTCGTGGGCTGTTATTACAAAGGCATTGCATTTTTCTGCTCAATCTTAGTGTAAAGTACCTACAACGTTCATGAAAATGCAGTACAATATTTCCCTTGGAGATGTAGAGGAGTAGAAGTAAAGTCTAGCATGAAATGGATGCATCAGACTGATAAGATGCTGCACATTTTATTAGACTGAATGTTGAGGGCTGTGAGGTGATTAAAACAGAGCAGCTTTTATGAAACAATACGGTTATGTTTTATTTGGAATAATGCTTTCAAAATCAAAACCTACATGCACACTGACACCAAGAATGTGATTTCCTCCTCAGAAATGAAGCGATCAGACCTGCGTTACCATGGATAAGATGTTCCTGATCCTGGGAAGACACACATTTACTGACAATCACCTACAGACGGAGCCGCTCCTTCCTAAGTGAGGTAGATGTTTCATCTCTGCACACAGATCACACAGCAGCTTCTGCTTCAACAGCTTTATTTAGCTTCAGAATACATACAGGATACAGTGTAAAATAAAAGAACAAGCATAACAGTATCTGAAACGCCTTATCTCAGACAATAAAAAGGCACAGAGAACTTTGGAAGAGTGAACATGGTTAAAATAAACATAACACCATTTTAAATTTATTTAGGGTTTATTTGCGTACAGCCAAATAAAACTAATCCTTCACACACCTCAGATGGTGTGCATCACAAATATATCATCAAACACTGCAACTGAAATAAAACGTAAGTCTAGCTTCAGCTCACATGTTTCGGCACAATTAGTAACAAGTTATACAATTAAAATGGAAAAAAACAAAAAAAATGAATTCTAGTGTTTAGGTACATTCATCATTCTAGTAAACTAACTATTAAAAAGGTTTAGCACAAGTGTATAAAAAGACAAATTTGCCACTGAAATAAATGATGCCACTGATACTCGCAAGTTCATTTGTAATTTGGAAGAACACGCATAATGGCAGTGAGATAGATTTCGTTTGTTTTTAAACACGGAAGAAAAGAATAACGGCATAAAACTGTTTACATGTGGTTGATGTTGGCTCAAAGTCAAAGCAGGGCATCGTGGGAGTTCCTGCGCAGGTTTTACATGTGTAAATGATGATAGAAGCACTGAAACAGATTCCATGTGATAAACTTAAAAGCTGGGATGAATTTAATTTAGCTGCTCGGAGAAATACATTTGTTTCAAGGTTTAACCCATTTAATCATCTTCTGCTGATTTCTTTATAGCACCACCAGCTGTTTCCATGAAACAGACAGGCCACCATGACGGTTTCTCACATTAAATCAGAGCTGAAGTGTAAATTTGGAAAGAAAACGAACAACTTTGCAGCATTGGGTTGAGGAAAGCGAACTGCAGCGCCGTCGGCACCTGCCCAACAACACTTCACCCAACAACCCAACGTAAGTGACTGTCCTGCTTTAGCTACAAGCAACAAGGTCACGTTGGACCTCACATCATGGTTACGCAGAGTGAGTTTATATTCGTGTGCGTACATGTTTGTTGTGTGATGTATGTGTGCGCTCAGATTGTTATGTTTGCAGACAAATCCAGGGTCGACTTTCTGGCTTTGGGCGCAGAAGTCAAGCCAACTCTCGGTTGGAAGCAGCTGCTTCAAGTCAAAGGCGAGAGGGGCGGCGACATGTCAGGTGGGCGAGGTATGAATATGTCTCTCATCAGAGCTGAAACAGAGAGAGAAACACTGTTGTAGACGGTTTGACAATCTTTAGAAGTGAGATGACCACTTCCTTACTAACTTACAAAAGGGAAGATTTTGGGTGGAATATCACTTTAAAACCTGCTTTTAACATGTGATCAGGAAGTGTGCATATTAATAAAGGAGTGAATTTACATTATTATTAGTACCTTAATATATATACTGTATTTCATATTTTAAACATGTCTTATGTTGTGATTGAAGTTGCAAATGTTCCTTAAAATTATACCAGTCCTATTCTTTAAAGCTCCATCGCTAACTGAGCACCACAACATGTTATGCTCAGCAGGGTTCGGAGTTAAACCTGCATTAATCTTACCTGCTGTATCACAGAGTCCCTGCATGCCTCCTAAAAGAGGGTCTCTGTCTGTAAGCAGCCGGCTCCGCCCACCTGGTCTAGGGTCCAGGACCAAATCTGATTGGTCAGTTTCCTCAAGACAGCCCTGAACATGGAGTTTAAACAATGATTAAGCAACAAGTCAAGTTGAATTTAAAGCTCTATTTCTTAAATAAGTTAATTTATCATGATACATTCTATGTAAATTGAGTTGTTAGTAAATTCTAATTATTTCAAACCATGTAAATATGATTGAAATATTGACTTTCAGCTGATTCACACTGATCAGGGCTTCAATGTAAAGGTTAATACGCTCTTAGTTTCACTAATAACTGCTGATGTTATCTCTGCCGCTTTCCGTCATTTACAAAGTGAAAATAATGCTGTAAGATGGTTTGGATGAAAGCATCTGTGTAATGCGCTGCAGTGAAAGCTGTAAATCAATTCAAACTAACAAACTGTTTTTTAATCTGACAGTTATTTCTCCTCTTCTCTTCTAAAAGGTCAGACTTTTACATTTTATTATGTCAAATTTTCTTCCTGCAGTTCTCTTTTCTGAAAGTTTATTTCAGGTAAATGTTAAGCATTATTCAAACAGAAAACATGCTTCTTGTCATTCTCTAAAGCACTTTATAAACTGCTGGCTAAACCCATTTTCTTCTTGTTCTTCCTCCCTCCTCTTCCTCCTTCCACTGACCAGTAATCTGTGGGTGAGAAGAAGTTCCTCTTCTATTGGGGAAGCATCTTGTTTCTGTCTCTTGTCCTGAATCCTCAGCTGGGACAGCATCTCCTCGTCCGGGTTATGAGTCCTGAAAGAGATGCAGAAAGAGAATTTTTATGACTTGCATTGTAAACTTTGTACCACCTACTTTACTCTCCTTAAACAGGTAAATGGGTCTTCAATGTAGAAGTGAGCCTGACAAGCTGAATCCAATTTGACCTAGTTTGTCCTGAAGTGGCCACCGTACAGAGGACAATTCCTATTGAGTTAACTAAAAACTTGGCCTGTCCTGTGGCGCCACCCTCAGGACAAACGGTTTCTCACTAGATGTAAAGATCTAAGAACAACATTATTTTCTGGAGTGAAACGAACACTACAGCTTCACATTATCTACTACGGCTCAACTCATATGGGCCTTTCGTACCGTTTCCTGCTCACTGTGACTGCCGGTGTCACAGTTGAGGCTTCAGACAAAAAGGACTGAGGTTTGTCGGCTTCCTCTGGCAAATTGCTGAGGACGGTTAGCTGGAAATCGTCATCCATAGAGATGTATGGAGCCAACATGTCCAGATCCATCCCATCCATGTCCTGAGAAAAGACAGGAAATTAAAGTCAGAGACACAATGGTTCGATGTAACAGTTACACACATGGACAAGATGTCCACGTCTATATTTACTATATCCTTGCAAAAACTTCCAAAGTTGTGCAACAAACTGATCTTCAGTTGTGTTTGACCAAAATTTATCTTTTTCAAAAACATTTTAAATAAAAATTGAACGTTCACTTTTTTTTTTACAGCCATCAGCTCTCTACACATCTGATGGATTATTTAATGTAATTTAAAAAAATTTATTAATCTTACAATTTCAGTTTTTGAGCAGTAATCCTCCCAATTGTGGCAACTACAGGTCACAATATTCCATAAAAAAATGCCATTAAGCAGCTGTTTGTGCAAAAGCTGTTTTTAATGAAATTCTTTTTTTTTTACTTTCAATCTGTATTTTTATAATTTGATTCACCCTAAGGTTTGACAAAGACTCTTTCAAAAATGTTCATCCGAAAAATAAAAAAGACTGTAGCTGGTACAGAGCTGCTCAGCGAACTTGATTGTATTAACCGTGTTTCAGCCTCTCTACTCGTTACCAGTTAGTTTTAAAATTGATTCTAGTATTTTACTGATCACCTTTAAAGCACCTCATAGTTAGTCCCAATTAAACTGCTGAATAGCTGCTCCCCTACGAGCCAGAGCCTCTGGCAGGTCCTGGCTTATAAAATCACTTTTTATAATAGTTTAATTTTTGTATTATTGAATTTTCTTTGCCTCATTCCCTCCTGAAATATTTGAATCCTGGTTTGTAAGACACTTTGTTTTGAAAAGGTTTGTCTCCTCTTACCTCCAGTGTTTCTCCTTTTTTCTGATCCTCATTTGGCCAAATGGCAAAGAACTTCTCCACGTCGCTGGTGTCCATCACAACATCCTCACAGGAGCTCTGAGAGAGAGAAACAGTTAAATCAGACATCGAAACTAATACTTTCCAAGTTTAAAAAAAAGTAAGGCTTGTATTTACCTGGTCAAGATCAGGTGAGGAGGGTGGTGATGATGATGGCGGTGGAGTGATGGGGTTGAAGATGGGTGAGAGGAGCTGTCGCAGCTGTGGAGAGCACAGATCCTGAGGGTGGTCCGGCACAGAGTCTGGACTGGACGGACTGGCAAACGTCAGCTCAACAAAATCTGACAGACAGAAAACGGAAGATTTCAACATTAAATAAAACCAAAAAATACTTTTAAACCAAGCACTGAATTTAAATATTGTACATATTAGTTGCTCTTTAATAATAAAGTCACAAGATGAGCCTCGTGAAAGGACATGTATGAAATATTGTATAACAAAACTTTTTAATTTAATACATAACTTCGCCACATGATTTTATGCAAACTGCCAATTTAATTTGTTCACTTTGGTTTATGACTAAAAACTGTAAAGCTAATGGAGGTTCCTATCAGCCTCAGCTGTATTTACTGCTAAATATTAAACCTTATCATCATTGCTGACATGTTTTTCAAAGCACCTCTGTGCCCCAAAGAGCTGCTAGCAAGGCTGTAGAAAGTAAAACTCCAGACAACATGCTAGTGACTGAACAAAGGAACAACATGTACTTACTGATAATGACCAGATTCAAGAACTAGTTCCCACTAACTGAGGTAAAATAATAAATCACTATTCATCACTGGTGCTCAAGTTAATATAAATATCTTTGGCTTGGCTCACCTCCTGTCAGCGGCACAATGGCGTCTCCGGCCTCCGGAGCCAACTGGAGGAGCTCCTCCGGCTGCTCCTTCAGTTTGAAGAAGAGCTCTTCTGCGCTGCTGGAATTCGAACATTCGTCATCAGCCTGACTGGAGCTGGTTAGACACTCACTGTCAGGGTCAGAGTCACAGATGTCAGAAGTCCCACAATCCTCCGATGCAAGCGCTGTTGAGTGGGGTTCAGTCTTGCCACAACGGATCTGCTCAATGGAGAAAACAACGTCCGGCTGCTCCACGGCGCTGCAGAGGAAGACGATGTTGGAGGTAAGAAAGAATAAGGAGTAGTTTGTATTTACCACATCATTGCATGTTAACCCTACACTACATCCTTTCTCACATCTTCTGTTACCCTAAAAACACCAGCTCTGACCTGGCTTGTGTTGTGACGTGTCATCGCTGCTTTTTAAAGTACCTGAGTATGAAGTTGAGGCAGACGATGGCCTCTGGCTGCGACGTCTTGCTGTTGTAGATGATAGTCGCCTGGGTCTCCGCCCAGACGAAGCCGCCGCTGTTCACCAGGAAACGGTAGTGGCTGGTGCTGACCTGACCTTTGCTCAGCACTACAGAGTGTGGACAGACAGAAATAAGATAGGTGAAAAGGGGTGGTCATGAAGGATGGAAGTTTGTTAACAGACTTATACCAACACAAAAACTTATATTTTAACTTCTAAGAAAAGATTTTATAGATTCCTTTGTGGGCTTAAAAAAAATCTACAATTCTGGACACAAGATAATTGCTGAAAAAGCTCAAACATGCAAAATTTCTTAGAGCAGACAATATTCAACATGTTTTAATGATACATTTTGTGTTTCGAAAGTAGGTCTACATGTTTAAATAAAATAATAATACTGTTTTCAGGCAGCTTCTGTGGACAAGTGAAGTTAAAATGAGTAGAACAACACAACTTTGTGATCACTGTTATGTACAGTGTCTTTTTTCTGGTATAGTACACACACACACACACACAAACTCACATATGTGCAGCCATTTGTTCATCTGATTAGAGTCGAGTGCATGATGAAACTCAAAGGCTGAGCGGCCAATCAGATCGTCGGGTTTGTATCCCACCAACTCTGTCACCCTGGAAACAGGAAGATTGAAGAAAAGCAACAGAAGAATTAAAAATTCAAGAGATTTCTTTTCCCATCTCGCTTTTCTCTCTTTGTGATTTCCCCCCCTCAAAGCAGAACCTCTCTTTTCTCTGAGGTCAAAGGTCAGTCAGTTTATCCTACCTGCCCTCGCAGTGTGTGAAGCACAGGTCCATGCTGTGGCGGGTGAGAAAGGTGCAGGTGTCCAGAGGGAACTCCACGCTGGACGGGTGAGGGATGGGCTCACACAGCAAGGTCATCACTCTGGCTGCAGGGGGCGACGTGGAGCTGCCGGCAAATGGGCGCATGTGACCTGTGCAGTGGAGAACCTGCAGAAACAGGAACACAATTCATTTTAAGTTTGAGGGCAGAGCATTGTTTCAAGGTTTACAAACCACTTCAGTATCAATTTCAACGTAATGCTTTTTTTATACTAAACTTACTGAGAACAAAAGATATTTTTGTAAAGCCACATGCATTAACTGCAGCAGTGTTTAATGTTGTCGTAACACTAACCATCATACTAGAACTTTGCCTAAATAATAAATGTACTCAATAAGTATCTGATCAAAGAATTTTTTAAAGCTGGGGTAGGAAATGTTGGAGAAACTAGCAGGAGACAGCTAGATTTTACAAGTATCCAACCTAAACTAGATCCTTACGCGCTCCCTCCGAAACATGTTTTCACGCACAGGCAGAGTGCACAGAATTAGGCTTATCACAGTCTTGCAACAGCCACAGATACCAGGTTTTTTTCTTGTGTGTGTCAGACCATCTGATTTATTGATTATAAAGAGAATTTTAAACAAATTAAATAAAATGCCTCCCCCAGTTTTAAGTCAAAGTCATATCAAGTCTTCATAGTCAAAATGCAAGTCAAGTCTTCCAGGTCTCTGCACGCTGACCATTAAAACAATTAAGGCTCTGCAAAGCATGCCTATCACTGTTTTATTTCATTATTATTGTTTCAGAAGTTTACCAGGCAAAAATTGTGACTTTATAGCAACTACAGGGAACATTTTATTTTGAGTTCATTCTGAGTTTTCACCACCTCGTGTCATAAAGATGTAGATATGGTTATTGCGAGCATTTGTTTTGGAAGAGAGATGTTTGCAGGATGCATAGCGATGAGGTAATGCATCCATTTGTGGATATGTAAGATTAATAATTTGACTATATAGTTACTGTAATTATCATGTAATCATCCGTAGATCATTTTGTCTGAGTCGTAGTGACAAGCATTCAGAAAGTATATATATATATATATATATATATATATATATATATATATATATATATATCCTAAAAACTATTTGTAGTTGCTTCAATGGTTTTATTTTCAGGTCAAGTTGAGAGTTCAGACAAGTAGCCAAGTAGGTCATGAGCATTTTTATCACTTGAGTGATACTTGAGTCCAAAGACCCAGTCTACAGCTCTGCTGCCATGAGATATCTTGAAAGAACACCCAGACTGTTTTCATTACAATTAGAAAACATATTGTTCCTTTATCCTGTAATAAACTATCAATAAACACAGACTAGACATCTGATGCTCTGTTGTGGGAGCATGAGTGAGTGTTGTATAATAAGTGTGTGTGGATGTGTGTTTCATAAACAACTGTGTACTCCGTGCAGTTTGAAAGGAACAGGGCCGACTGCCAGAGATGATGGGACCTACTCATATCTCTTTCAGGCTGGACTTCAGCCCTGTGTGTATGTGTGTCCTCAGAGCAGCTGCTCTTGGCTGGACAGAGCGGTCCACACTTGACTTGAGCACTGAGATAACTTTGTGTGTGTTTGCACGTGATTCATCTGTGTTAATTCATCTCTGCACCTTCCAGGAGGCAGACTTGATGTTGACAGTGCGCCCCCTGCTGGTCAGAGTGCTCTTCATTCTCAGGAAGAAGTTCCTCTCACTCGGCTGTTCTGTCAACAGTTTCTTGCTCAAACCTGAAAGCAACAGACACGTACAGAAGTTTATTAACACCAAGTTCTTTGCGTTTGGTTTCCAAACCAACACATTTGATTCATAAAGTATCTGAACTATTTTTATAGATTGATCAAAAGCACAGCTGGTAACGCCACTGCTAATGCTTTTTCACAAAACATCCCTCTTCTGTATTGAAATGCCTATAGTGACAGAGGATGATATAACCGATATATCTGACATTAAGTAATTACAATGCATGCTGATGATTTAGCACGCTAACTAGCATAATCTCAAACAGCAGCACAAAAACAGCACATGCATTAAATACTGGAGGAGACCAAACTCCCAAAAAAGTGTGTGTTTGTTTAACATTTACACACGTCAAAGCTTTATGTTACATTTCCTGTTGTACACTGTCTCATTGTAATAACGAAGGCAATAACAAGCGCCTGACCTGGACGTGGAGTCAGCAGGTCTCGGAGCTCCTCCTGATCACAGGGATGAACAAAGTCGTAAATACTCTGACCCAGCAGCTCCAGCTGTACACAGCAAAAGACAACAACAAATGTCAGTAACAAACAAAAATAGATGCATTGGTTTGAGATTGGAAAGCTTGCTGCATCCATTTTAAAAGTTCAAATCAATAAAGATTCATTGATATCACATTCTTTTAGTTTAAATACTATTCTTTATGTATTTTGTGTGACTGGTGCCTTGTTTAAAGGTTTATATGTGTTCATTTTCCTCTGTATTGCAATTTACCATAGTGTTGTTAAATAAAGAAAAAATCAAATAAATGATTGGCAGAGGTGTTTGTTTGATTAAATCATTACAGCTTCATGTCACTCCTGTGTGCATCTCATCATAACCTAGATGAGCTTCAACGATACACTTGATCTCCAACAGAGCTAAGAATAGATTTAAGGGATGTCTCTGCTCTCCATCCTGCTCGAGTTACTCGGAATAAGTCACATACTCTCCCAGAGGCTTACAGTAAAAGCACCTACGTCGATTAAAGAAACAGAACCAGTGTACTAAAATCTAAATCTAAAGAGTAGTTTAGAGAAACGATATATATTTTCAATACAGAATAAAAAAAAAACATTTTTAGGTATTTTTCCTTGTAAAACACGTGCTTCTACTTCTTAGTCACAGTTAAAATGATAATTCCTCACATCTGCTACAGTTTTTTGTGAACACTACCACTGGCTGATAAGATGGAAAATCACTTTTTGATGCTGACTTATCACAAGACTGTCACACTCAACAGCAGCTGAACCGGACACATGAATGAGGAACGGAGGCCAGCAGGTTTGAAATGATGTGGAAAAGCTTAATATGAAAGCAGATTTACTGTGAAGTAAATACTTTTCTTTTTTGTTCACATGTACCTGAGTGATGCCGATGTGGCTGCTGACGTTTTCCGTCAGGTAGATCATGTCTCCCTCCTCAGTCATCACCATGATGAAACCAGCCAGTGCCTGAGGGTAGAAAACGTCCATTGGATCCTCCTCTCCTCCTCCTCCTCCTCCTCCTCTCCTTCTCGTCCTCTTCAGAATCCTCTTTCTTATTCTCACATGCTATAAAAACAACAAGGTGATGACTATGGAACATCCTTGGTTAAAACGTGTGTCTGACGACCATCTGAAGATGTGCTTCTTACCGGGTTGAAGGAGACGGCGCACCCGCAGAAAGCTGAGGGCGATTCTCATGATGGCGGATTTGTCCAGGTGGGTTGTGACTCGGCGAGGAAGCGGCAGAGTGTGGGCGAGCTCATAAAACACCTCCGTCTCTTGACTCCGCCTACATCTGGCAGCATCACGAGAACGCAGCTTCCTCTGCTCGGAACTGGTACTACAGGAGGAGGAGAGGGAAAAACAGAAGGATAGGACATGATTAATAGAGATGAAAACAGGGACAGGAGAAGAGGAAGGAGGTAAAAGAGGAAAACAAAAAGAGGTAAAATGTTTAGGAAGGACACAAATCAGATGACACAACAAAACGGAAATGAGAGGAGGAGAAAAGACATGAAGAAGAGAAAAAAATGTGGGAAAGTGGGACAAAAAAAGAAAAAAAGAAGTCAGTGGTGAGTCCAGGATTTCACAAAGATCACGTCACACACTCCTCACTTCATGTCTCAGCGTTGTTAAAATTTTTCTCAGAGCTCTACAACACAGTTCAGATCCCCTCACACCAGATGCTTCTCTTTAATTTGACACAGAACTAAATTTCAGCTATTCCAGTTCAGTAATCAGGTAAAGAAAAAGAAAGACATTTATATGCACCGTTTCGTACTAACTTACACTAAATGAGAAATTGAACTTGCAATCTTACACCTTAAGGTTCTGCTGCTGCTTCAATCTATAGTTTCTGCTTTCTCAAATTGTGACTTCTGTCAACCTCTCTGACAAAATGTTGTTTTTATAACGATTTTAATAAGTTTCTTTTCAAATCAAAAAGTCACATCAACTACCAAGGAACAGAGAAAACCCTCTTTCTGCACTACGATTTAGATTTTCAGATATATGATTTGCCTTAATTTCAGTTCCTGCTAGTTCACTGCTCAAGTTTGGTGCTAAGAGGAGTTCAGGTCAGCCAAGTGAACTGCAACAATCCAACAAATATGTGATACACTCATTACAAATACTTTATGCTATGATCAATATGTCTGATAACTTCACATCATTGCCCTTTCAAAGTCTCATTTAAAGTCTGGAATCTTTAAATGGAGTCTGTGAAGAATGTTATCTCCTGATCCCAGGGGCCCTCTAACGTCCTTCTGGGACTTGATGGAATCCACTTTAGGAACCACAGTAGTGCTCTTCTCCTCAGCCCTCTGTAACTTAATCTCTGGTGTTTTCCAAAGGGGGCGAGACATGGAGGCCTCTGCCTCTTCATATGGATGATCATGGCCAGAGAGTTTAGCTCTGTAAACATTCCTGGATGTTTTTTTTTTGTGTGTGGGAAGAGAAGTGATAACAAAAATAGTGAAAAATGTCCTAAACTGAAGGGAACAGAATGTTATTTATTTCTGCCACTGGGAGACTGGGAGGCTGTCCAGAGCCTCCCAGTCTCCCAGTCCCTCCCTCCCTGCCTACCCGATCTGGCCTAAACCAAAAGACGTGCTGACGAGACAAAAGCAGGGTTTCATTTCTCTACAGTGTGTAGATATGCAATCACATCAAATCAGACACAGGAACAGCATCAATATGTTCCTTCTTGAAATGACCTCACACACAACTAACTTCTGCCCTTTCAAATACTTTCAGCACACTGCAACAGCAACAAAAGGTATCAAGTGCTGTAAAATGAAATTAAGAAACTAATAATCAACAACAATAAAAAAGAAGATTATATGTATTACCACCCAGAGCTCAGTGTGGCTGACTCTTGCACATTTTATGAATCAAATTGGACTCTAAATATATATTATTATACATACTGCAGCACAACACAAAGGACACAACACAAGACTCCAGCCGGATGCCAGCTCAAAAATAACTTCTCAGCAGTGACAGTGACAGCTGACAAAGCAGAGATACAATTTAAACATATAGTATATTATTAAAACAAAATAGTACAACATAATTCAATAATGTCTGACCTTGCTAAGCATTAGCATGCCTTTATACAACGGCCTCAGAGAATCACACTTAAAGGCGATGATGATATGATAAAGATGTTGAAAAAACATAAATTATAGTATGGTTATAATAGTGATAATCCACTTTCACAAACACAGTGATTAGCAAAAATAATGCACTTCACCAGCTCGACTGAGATATCCATCAGTGTTAGCTTATTTATGTGCATCAGTTTCCTATTTTAAGACTATTTGTTCTGTGTTTGTTAAAAATAATTACTATGGGACGATATAATGTTATCAGATTTTTTTAAACTCCTGAGTATTGATACCTTTTTATCTGTAGCACTCCACAGAATAGAACTGCATATAATCTCTGATCCACAATCTCCAGTCCAAACTATAACTTTTAGTATTATATTTGAATTTATATCAACAAAATATGACAATTTTTGTTTCTCCATGCTAAAGTTCTATTGCTGCAAAACTTATTGCACAACTGTTTGTCTGGATCCCGCCTTTGTTGCACTTCCAAAAAGTTTTTTCAGTTTTTCCCCTTTGAAAAAGTTTTTTTGTGGCATTTTTTGTTGTCCCAGCGGGTCTCAGTGACTTCTTTACACCACTTTGTGTCACATTCAGTCAGAAATGGACAAAATATAGCAACTATCTTATCTTAAATTACAGTAGGAGAAGGAACCTGAACAGCTTGCAGGTTTCCTGCACATTAGGAACCTGAACAGCTTGCAGGTTTCCTGCACATTAGAACCTGAACAGCTTGCAGGTTTCCTGCACACTCTGAATTTATCTGAAATTATATCTGACTTGTTCACAGGCAGAAAGCCATCATCTGTTATTGTTTAACCTGTTAAGAGTGAAAACGTGTAGTCAAATAAAACACCATTCAGTGGTGTTGCCACAGTATGTGAACTCTATCCTAGTATTCAGACGATAGGACACAATGTTCCTGCCAAGTGAAAAAGACCTCGACACACCCTCCCCGTTCTCATCCAATATGACAGGTAGTTTTAACAGCTAAACCACCTGTAATGCTGACAATCTCTGCAAGAGTATTTGAAGTGGGATTAATGAAGTTTGTTAAACACACACATGTTGTTGGTGCTGCTCCCTCAGTGGATGATACAGTAAATCTGTTAAGACTGAATTTCACTTACTGCACAAAGAGGCAGCAGAGGTTTCCAGAACGTTTCTTTTTTTTACTGAAGCTATAAACACAAAGGGGGGCAGATCTATTACAACATACTCATCCACAATGTGGTTTTTGTACAAAGTTTAGAAACATGCACACACATTTGTACAATCTGTGTGTCACAGCAACTGTCTCAGAGCTGCCAAGGTATTTCTCACTGGGAGGAATAGCACTTTTTTTCAGACAGTCACTTTATCTGCCAAGCCCTTACAAAGACACATTATTGGAAAAGTAGAGAAAATTATATAAATCACACTCACTGTACAAAAGACGGTTTGGTTTGTTTCTTACTGGTGCTGGGAAAGATTCATTGTTTTTTAAGATCACAAAGTGGACTTGAAGAACTTCTTTCTAGAAAGAAGTTCTCCAAGTCCAGTTGCCCTTGATTTTAACCTTCCTTGGATAACTACGACCTGTATGACTGAGAACCCTCACAGACAGAAAGAAGATCTGTTTAATTTTTCTTCCATTTTAGCAAAGTGTTCAGTGCAGAAAATGTGATGTTTTTGCATCACGTTTCCCAGAGATCACCTGTCAATCAAACAGTGTGGGCTGGACTGCGGCATGATTTCTTGGATTTTCTCTTATGTTTTTGGTTTATGTAGAAGGCACGCTTTTTAACTACTCACTCAAAAACTTTCAAAACAATCTTTGCCATTAAAATGTTTCTTTATCCACATTCCTAGAGGAGTCTTTAGCTGTAAGTGTTGTTAAATGACCCCGTGGGTCAGAACTTTTTGATGGTCTTGACCGAATTTGTACTCAGTCTTGTCTCGGTCTCGGACATTGAGGACTCGGACCAGTCAAGACCATAACTTTGGGAATATCAATAAATTGCTTTTGCATTGTCTATTATTTATTTGTTAACATACTAACTTTCATTGGATGTAAAACGTATTGCTTCAAATGCAACCAATAACCCCAATTTAAATGTGTTGTTCCTGTTAACGACTGTCCTCCCTCCCCGCGATGGTAAACATGGAAAAAGAGTGTTGAATAAACATGCTTACGTTGATTTCAGCTCTTATTGTTTGTATGTGGAAGTTTTAATGGGAATGTGGATCTTTCAGATCAATCTGAGAAGCACCTGTGATCTCGCGTCATGTAATGTGGGGAACTGGTCTTGGTTATGACACGGACTCGCCCTCCCTCTGTCTTGGTCTCGACTTGGTCTCAGCCCCTAAAAGTCTTGGTCTTGTCTCGGTCTAGATAAACTCTGGTCTTGACTTGGTCTCGGTTTGGGCGGTCTTGACTACAACACTAGTCAGAGCAGTATCTTTCAAAGAAATGGATGGATGAACAGACATTATAGTATATAGTTTAGTAAACTGGGTCTATACACAGCAAATTTGAACAAATTCTGGTCTGACTGACCAATTAAAATAGATAAGTTGTCTCCACATTTTTAATTCAACCAAAGATTTTGTTTTCTGCAAGCGGATTTACAAGACTACAGACTTTATTTCTATCCCAACTGGCTTCCACAAAGCGGTCGCTAGTCTTGGTGGGATCCACAAAAAAAATTAACAACATATTGATACTGTATGATTTTAAGTCATCTGTGTATCAATAAAGTCTGTGTACCAAGGATAAGAAACTATTATTATTAGTGAGAGTACTAGTCTTCTCAGGGAGACCTATCAGCAGAACATCTGTCAACATCTTCGGTGTAAATAAATACCGTAGGAGCCACAACATTACTAATAGTTTATAGAAAAAAGGTCACGTGTGCATTTTTGATACCCAACATGCAGGCAGCTTCTGACACAATATCTCAAGTCAAATTTATTTTTACATTTGAGGATCTGAATACATCTGAGGGGCAGCAGAGCTGAACGGACACACACACACACACACACACACACACACGTAGGCAGCCCTCAAAACAGAGATATGACCACCATTATACCCACATACTTTAATGCCAAGACGAATGCTGGCCCGCAGACACACCCGCATAAACAAAATTACAAACTCACGTCATCCAGTCAAGCTGAGATAATAACGACTTCATTATGTCTCCTTGGGTGACGTCTCTTCAGGAAAAACAAACAGACAAAGCCCACTTGACTCTTTATACATCAAAAGGCTTTCACCAAATATCTTCGGGGGCTGCCCCAGGAATGTTTTGTTTGGTTGAACAGTGGTAGCCAACCTGGGGGTCATCAAACCCCAAAAGGGGTCATGACATAATTTGAAGGGGTCATGAAATGATTTAACACGGTTGGAAAGAAGAAAAAAAAAAAAAAACAACACTTTCTTTTTTCAGACTTTCTTATAGTCTTCCCCTGTTCTTGTGAATTACGAAATAATTTTTACTCTTCAGGGACCATTTCTGTATTATTTGGATAAATTGAACCATATTTGGGTTTAGTCAACAAGTGTGAGGAGAGAATCACTTCAGTACGTGTGATGGATTGTCTGGTTTCCATTATGTGGAGCTGGAATGCCATTGACTTCCATCTTTTTTATTCCTTTGACATAAGTTTCCTTGTGAGCAGAAACCATGACGTTCTAACTTTTTGGAATTTTAGTTGTGTTATTTTTTTTATACACAGCTACTGCTGTGTAGTACTGTACTACTACTGCTAATGCTACAGCTAATAGTTCTACTATTGTTAATACTACTGCTACTAATACTTCGGTTTACAGTAATACTACTACTGTTAAGAGAAAGATAAGGAAGTATTTATTTTGCACAAAGTATGTTACAATTCTATTTATAGACTCATTGATCAATCAAGAAAATAATTCCCAGATTACTGGATAATGAAAATATTTGTAAGATGCAGCCCTAATTCAGATGTTGGGTAACTATGCTACAAATATTAAACATGACCAGAAAATAAAAATTGAAACTGCATCACACTGCAAGAAGGAGATAACTACTAGTAGTAGTACTGTTAATAATACTGCTGCTAATAATGATCTGTCAAACACATACGATCTTACACTCACTCTAACACAGCAACAAATAGTCGGCCAGCTGGGTGGATCATTAGAGAACAGAGTGTACTCAGAGAGCAGAGGTGCACTTTGGCGACCGCTTCTTATTGCTTTATGTGAGTGTGTGTGCGCGCACTGGAAAACAAACCATGGTTACTGAGTGTAAGCAGTTGTGCATTAGCAAAGGCAGTCCCGTGATAGTGTACGAGAAGGGAAACAAACCCACGCACACGCCAATTAAAAAGGACATTTAGGCAAAGACACGCCTTCAGCTTCTTTAACACACACGCACGCAAACACACATACACACCTCATTTAGAGAGAACACAATGTCCTCTACTGTCCTCAACTAGAGTCAGAGAGAGAGAGAGAGAGAGAGAGAGAGAGAGAGAGAGAGAGAGAGAGAGAGAGAGAGAGAGAGAGAGAGAGAGCTTCAGTGTGCCACAAGGTTTAAAAGTGAAAGGAACAGAAAGAGAACGTACAGCACAGTAGATGAACAAGGAAGGAAGCTAAAGTACAAGAGAGAAGGAAATGTTTGAGGAACACACACACACACACACACCGGACATCTCATAACCCTCTTGACATGCTTATTACACTCCGAGTAACAAATCACGCTCGGCCTCGTTTGGTTTGGAACACACTGTTCACCAAAACAAAGACTGTTGCAACTGTGGGAGGAGAGCGTGACTGCACGCAGTGCACTGCTGCTTTCACACACACATAAACAAACACGACCTCACGTTTCTTTTCCTACTGACACTGGCTTGTGGACGACAATGATACCAGTGTATTTTAGATCAAATTTGCCAACATCAACAATTTCAAGGTTCACATGAGCTGCAAAACAATAATGCATTTTCGTTATTTTTACAATATTTTTTCCTAGAATAAAGTTAAATACACATCTGTAAGTATCGATGACATCGAAGGACACTAAAATGTCTCACTGAAGTCAGATCCGTCTCAAAGTCACTCTCTAGTGTTATCATTTTACATTTATAGTAATTTTTAAAGCACATATGCCAAACATCTCAGTCCAGCTTCTACATTGTCAAGATTTGCAGCTTATTTTTGTGTTATGTGATATTAAACTGAATATGAGTTTTGGACTATTGGTCAGACAAAAACAACATCTGATGACGTCACCTTGGCCTGTGGAAAATTGTGACGGGCATTCTGACATTTAATAGATCAAAAGAAAGAAAACAATCTGTAGACTACCTGACCTGATAATTAAAATTATCATTATGTACAATAGTTGCAGCCCTAACGGACCCTGCTTAGGAAGTTTTGCAGTCACTGGTAAATCAATATGGATGTTGAAGTCTGAAATTAGTAGACAGGAAGATATCAGTTTAACTTCAGTATTCTTGTTTCTTGCTCCCACTAATGTTGAAATGCACACACATTCATGCTCCATCACATGTTTAGTAGTTTCATTGCTGATCTATGAACACTTGGTCACAAACATCTCTTGTTAAAATCTGAACCTGATAAAAGTTGAACATAAGATCTGGCCTAGACTCTTCCTAAACTCAGGTACTCAGGTATCAGATTGGAAATCGTATTGAAACATTTCAGAAGTTACCTCGCTGTAGTGGCTGTCGCAACCATTGGCTGGAAAGTGCAAAAACAGATGATGGAGGAGGCAGAAGACGGTTGGAGCTTTTAACTTTTAAACGTTTTAAGTGTTTTTTAAGGAAGATTTCTACAAAAAAGCGGGGCTGCAGCTTATGACTATTGTTTTTATCAAATAATCAATTTTGTTAATCGTTTCCTGAAGCCAAAGGAGACGTCTTCAGATTCCTTGTTTTGTCGGAACAACAGTCCAAACCAAAAGATATACAGTTTACTATTAGAGTACAAACAGACAAATAAAAGCTGAAAATATAATCACATCTGAGAAGTTGTAATCAGCACTTCAAGTCAAGTCAAAAAAACTTAATTATCCCACCTGAGGAAATTTGGTTGCAGCCATGCCAACACATTAGTAATAAAAAACATAATCAAATAATGCCACAATATAGGCACATCACAGGGACTAATGGTGAAAACGTGAGATGGATTCAGATGAAGACAAAAAAACAGCCTAATTACATTATGTGCGTCGGTGCAGAGATCACATGTGCAAATTCAGGCTACTAACTGCCCTGAAAACAAAAGAGGCGTTGTATCTTTTGTCCCATCTACGGCCTGAAGGTAGGAGCGTAAACTCCCTCTGAAGTGGGTTATCAGGACAGTCCAGTATGACCTGAGCCTTGCCGCTTTGCAGAGGTCAGAGAGCTGCAGCTGACTCACTCCAATTACTTTATTGACCACTCTCTGACAAGCTGGCCGAGAATATTCTTGCTGGCCAGATTCAGTTTCCCAAATCAAGCCACAATGCAAAAGGACAGAAGAGACTCAGTGAAATTTCTAACAGAGTCGTCATTCAGCAATCGTACGGCTTTTTGTGTTGTTGTCTAATTAAATACAAAAACATTTTATCTCGTTTTCTCTTATGCATTGAAAACATATGAAAAACAACTGACTGCATGCATCAAGCTGCACAGTATTTTATGTATGGTTACACCCCCCACCCCCCCTGACCTCAGCAGCCAGGTCAGGTATGTGCAAGTTGTTTGGACAGGAAGAAGTAAGTCCACCCCTACAGCTATTTCCAGCTTCAGTGTTTGCATGAGACACTGGTGGTTCTGGTTTAAAACTGGCTCTAAGCCCAAAGATGGACATCTATACCGTAAATCAACATGGCAGCAGGGCTGTATGAGCTTACATCAAACGAAAGCCCGAAAACTGCAAAAGGGTTAATCTGTGAAGCTCACCAGCCACTAGAATAGTTCACTCATAAACTAACTTCAGTCTTCCTATTTTCAGACTTTGTCCTCTCTGGCCACCATACAGTACAACAAAACAATGTTTCTGTATCAAATGGATCCCACTGAGAGGCAGGCTCTTACTAGACATAAAGGAACATGCATTTACATGCTGTATTATAATGTGGCACCAGATATTATTAACATTAGAAAACCACATTATTGCATCTTTTGGCTTCGACTATTTTGCCATGCTAAGAGATACTCAGACAGCAGAGAGGAAGTACTGTTCTTGCTCTCTCTGCATGTTTTGAGATGGTACTGCATTTTTAACGGCATCTTTAATTATAATGAATGTATTAATGCTACACAAAGTCACAAGAACATGAACATGAACATGCAGCTGCAGCAAAAGTCCGTAACAGCTGGACATAATAAAAACATAAATAATATGAAATATGGGTCAGTGAAGCCATGAAGCAACAACCCGCTGTCTGTTGCTGCAGTAATGATCAGTCTGAGTCATGAACAAAGGCTGCTGTGGACTTATGACCAGCTATAATAACAACACAGGACGCTTTACAGAGATCACAGCAGCACGATGCCGAGATATTAAACGAATATCACATCTGATTAAAAAAATATACCAGAAATGATATTCTCTTCACTATGAACGCACTATAGAGAACCACAAACAAACCCATGTTTATGGGTAATCGTGTATTTAAAATAAGACTTCACACTCAAAATTAGTATTTGGATCAGAGATTAGGCACTGAAAGACAAGAACGGATGTATTTATCTCTGAGCTGGCGGTGTGAAAGCGACAGTGATGTGTCGCGCTGTTTATCGCTGTGATCTTCAGCCTGTTTTTTATGGCTCACTCATGTCGGAAAGTTGCAGTGGAACAAACGATGCGACTCGCAAGACGACTCGGAATAAAAAGACTTAAATTAAATGTGTATTTAAATAAATCAGCCTTACCGTTTGACCGCGACGGTGTCCTCTTTCTCCTCCATGTTCAAACTGGAAGGCCGAGCTGCGATTCGGCTTCTTATTGTTGTTTATTCTGGCACAAGACCGGAGAGCCTGTAGCATCAGCTGTGTCAAAGTGGCAACTGCAAGAACACGCTGTTTCCGTTCATTCTTTTCAGAATAAAAGTCTTCTCCTACTTAATACTAGAATGCGTTTGAAGGTCCTTGTCGATATGTGTTTTTCAAGACTTGCGCCTGATTATTTATCCAAGTACATTTACTTAAGTAGTGTAATTAAGTACAGATAATTTAGAACTTGTAGTTTACTTGAGTTTTTATGTTACTATATTATTCAAAAGGTAGAAGTAAACAAATTTGTACTTCAGTAAAAGTACAAAAGTACCTGATTTTAACAATACTTAAGTATCAGAAATAAAAGTATTCAATTTATGCTTTCACTTGACATGACAAACGATCATAAAAATAGTTGCCAGTTAAATTTCGGTAAATCGTGTAAACATTTGTAAAGTAACTACGAACTGAAATAAGTACATTTTTCCTTCTTAAATGTGGTGGAGTCGAATTAGAAAGTGGCATGAAACTTTAAAGTACAAATACCTTTAATTTGAACTTAAGTACAGTTGCTAAATAAATGTACTTAGTTACTGTCCACTGCTGTCAACATGTAAAAAATGATACCTCGGGACAGTTTAAAGGTCTTGTATACTCTCACACAGGTGTTTTCAGTTCATTCAGCTAGAATGACTTCTCCTCCACCACACCCTTTACTGAAAAGAGTGATAAACTTGTCCCTAAACAAAACTAACAGAAGAGCCAGAGAGAAATGTCAATCAAGCCCACACAGTCCTGAGAAAAGGCATAAACTGACAACACATGTAAAAAAAAAAACCCACCTGTGTGTGCAGGGCAGAGGTAGACATAGTATTGCCCAGGAACTATATAGTACATACGTACAAATTTGTGGTACCTGTTCTTTACTTGAGTGTTTACAGCTTCTAACAGTAATAACTTTACAAATTAAGGTTTTTTACAATTCAGAATAGTTCAACTTGAGCTCCACTTCAACAACTACAGCAGAAAAATCCTGCTTTTACATGAATGCATGAGGAATAATAATCTCATGATATAAGTATGATAGTATAACAGTCACAAGGGACATTTTTCTGCATTGAGTACTTTTAACTACTACTATTAATACTGTACATTTTCCTGATTATACTAACATACTTTTACTGTATGGTATTAATACCTTTACTTAAGTAAAGGATCTGAAACTTTTTACAGTGCACAGGATTTTTGCCAAGCAGGTTTTACACATACAAGGACTTTGCTTTGGTGGTTTGGATCTTAACAATGAAGAAAATAAAAATATAAGAAAGTTAAAGACAGAGCAAGAGCGCAGGTAAGAAAATCATAAAACATGAAATTGACAGTAAGATATGAAAAGATAAAAGAATAATTAAGGATATGTACAATGTGGCTGTGGTTTAAATGGCTGTTAGTGCAGGGATGTGCAAACTGTTTACTGGGGTCGGCAGTCGTTGAAGGCCCCAGGCCCCTGCTGGGGTGGGGGTGTTGGAGCTGGTTCATGGCGTCACGGGGGGATGGTGTGAGGAATGTCTCATTGTCTTTCAAAGTGACTGCAGAATTCATTCAGTTTGTTGGTGAGGCTAAAGTCGTTGGAGTTGGGGGTTTGTAGTTTGTCTGATCTGTTTTAATGCCCTCCAGACAAGAAGCAGAGTCGCTAAACTGGTGTTGTAGCCTCTCTTCTCTCACGCCTCGCTAAACTTTGACTACCTAAACATGGCCATATGTCCACTTCTAAACCCTTCTTCCTTTTCCAACCTAAGCTGTCTGAGTTTAGCAGTAAACTCCATGAGCACAATCCACTAATGTAACTTAATCATTCATTTGCAGTTTGGTACTTATTAATACTTCTGTACTTTTACTCAAGTAGACTTTTACTTGTAACATAGTATTTATTTAGCCTTTATTCAAGTAAAGGATGTAAGTACTTCCTCCATCGCTGCTATTTGGTCAATATACTGCAAAGATTGATTCTTTCTGCTGTTCATCACACCACAAAAGAAGTGTTTAAAATGAAGTAGCCTAGCTTTTTGTAGCTCCGGACTAAAGCATCTGAGACATTATTGAGGTTTTGTTTAAAATTGTCTCATTCTGTCTGTTTTGTTTATAGCGTGTATATGTGTTCTCTATACTGTAGCCTGTGTTTGATTTTATTACTGTATTATTGTGTTATTGTATTATTGAATAAGTAAGCACATCGTGAGTATTGTGCAATCCAGAGTCATATTCCTAGTGCCTGGCAATAAAGCTGATTCTGAAAATAAATAATTTTAGCTTTGCGAAGAATAAGCTAGTTTATTCATTACACTGCCATTTAAAACCCCTATTCAGTTTAAGAATTTTACAATTATTACTTTATGTGTTATCATTATTTTGTCATTGGTTAACTTCTTTTCTCTTTTTGGGTGTATTTAAATTTTTTAAATTTGTTAAAATCATCTGCTTGTTTCTTTACTTGTTATCAAGTTGCATGTTCTTTTATTACGTTTATTACTATTATCATTTGTTATCGACATGCTTGCTTTTGATCAATGTGGTCAAGTAAAAAGTAAACTCAATCTATCAAGTTGTACTGTTGCTATATTTATTTTCAGTTGAGTGTGCTTCTTATAGCATATTGTATATGTCCATAGCCCCCAGTTATTGAAAGATAGTGTGGTATGAACAATTGATTCGTCTATCAACAGTAATTTATCAGCAACAGCAATGACAGCTGATCAGCTGTTTAAGTCATGGGTTGCAGGACTACCTGTTTCTTTTCTCAGTTTGCCTAAATGTAACAAATTACTATTATTTTTGACATTTAATAGTATAGTTTTGTTTAATTACTAATTAATGATAATAATATTAACTGGTCGCAGCTTTAATCACATTAGGTTAAACTTTATCCTCTTGGTGAAAGTCGGGCTAGCAGATCGCAAATGTTGCAAAAGCCCAACAGAGTTTTTATTTTTGAATCCGGTTCCGGTGTTACTGACTGTCTGCTGTCTCTGACTTGATGCTGTTTTCTCTGCCGAAAGAATCCTTTTCTTCCTCTACGGGTGCAGATAAGTAGTGAATCTGACTATATTTGTTTGTAGCGCCCTCTATCGACCACCAGATAGGGACAAAGATGTTTTTGATAGATGAATGATTTAAATATTAAAATCAGTCTCTCTTTCAAGCTGTTTCCCTGCAGGAGCCCCTGAAATAATAGGCCTTTTTAGACCAAAACTACCCATTATAGACCAATAAAAATTAATCAATAATACCAATGTGAGCAAAACACATCAGTCCATCACACAGGACACACGATTGTTTCAGGTTTAACGTTTTAATAACAGATCTCCATTTACAAACCGGATACAGTGACGTCATTCTGCCGTTATAACTTCCACCAGAACAGGCATTAAGTGTGTGAAAGCGTGTGTGATGCTGCATGTGTGTGTGGGTCGGTGCATGTGGTAACTGTATGGTGATAAGAGAGAATGCATATTGTACACATACACACAAACATTTGCACACACACACACACAAATGAAAAAACAACCCTTAAAACAAACGGCCATTCTCAAATAAAAATGAACATATAAAATGATTTTGTTCTCTTGGTTGTGAATGTTTGCTTCTGTGCAGAATGAGGCGTTGAGAGGAAAACGTAGTCTGAGCTTTGGCATCCTAAAGAATTTTTTAAACTTTGCTGGCTCAGGTATTTGTCATATTTGACTCAACACTGTTTGTGTTTGTAGTTTCTGCTCACAAACAGTCTGGACGCAGCGATTTGTAGATGTGAGAGGAGAGTTACTGAATTTAGTCAGGTGGAGCTCCAGCTGCTCCTGTGATCACAGCTTTTTGTTCAGTTCCCTGCTAATTAGTCTGTGAGTAGACTTATTCCTAATGCCTCTACAGCAAAAAACTAAAACTATCCTCTTCCATCTTCTAATATTTACTCTGTTCTTCGCCTCTCTCTGTTCACTCTGCCTCAGCAGTCAGAAGTAAAAGAAGAAATGCATCTTTGCTCCAACGTCAAACGAGTTTCAAAACCTAACAAAATCTTGTAGCCATAAAAACAGAAAATGAACATAAATCCTTGGATGACACATTTATAGCACAAACCCCTCTGAATCTTCTATTTGTTTGAAATACTGAGCGTTCAAGTAAGTGTGACCTAGAAACATACAAGCAAAACACAGCCAGTTATACCGACTGATCGCTTCTATTTCAGCCCTTCAGTTCAGGAGCAGGATCATTCTTTTTATATCTCGTTTGTTTTTCTAGTGCCTGAGAACATTTGTATAGCACTCGCAACTTCACCAAGTAAATAACATGTTAAAAATATTTCAGTCAAGTATTTGTTTTCTCAGTTAGTTGGCACCTGTTTTTCACCCAAGTTCAACACACCCAAATGTTTACATCTCTTAGAAAGAAGCCTAAAATGTAAAAAGTATGCACCGAGTTTGGAAGGTTTTGCATTCTGTATGCATACTAATATACTGGCTTTAATTCAGTCAGGAACACATTTGCATTCACACACAACAATTGTGGACAAACGCATCAACGGCCACTTGTAGATGTGGCCTGAGGGGTTACTTCAGGGTGCATTCACACCTTAGTGGCGTCCACTGATGAGAATGGATTTCAAGTGGGTTAGTGGGTGTGAACAGTGTCTGTGAGATAACAAGATAAACATCAGACAGCTGCACCAAAACATCTGACTATAAAACTCTTAGATTAAACTGCACAACCTGTTTAGAGAAATTCAAAGTTTTAAACAATATGTTAATACTTCAATGTTTTTTGGTGAAGGATCTATGGTTTAGATCATTTTCATTTTGTGAATTATTCCTTTAACATCTGAAGAGAGCAGATCCAGTTTTTCCTCTCAGACATTGTGATGAAGCATTCATGTAGCCAACAATAATACCCTCAACAATACCGACTGGCTCCAACACAGTGCGAGGAACTTGGTGGTTTGTCGCTCCAAGGGCATAACCTTGGCACCGCCTTGGAAGGTGCTCTGCTATTTATAGGATGTATTATCAGAAAAGTAACTCTATAACTCACACAAAAGAAAGCACAAAGACTGATAAAAAAAAACTGCCGGTACGTTGCACTGTGAGCGTTCATACATGTAAGACAGAAGTCAGTTGTTTGTTATGGCCCAAAATAAGAAGCATGTTAAAAGTAACAGAAAACAAAAAAAGATCCTGTTCAGAAACACCTCAGTAGCCCTTTCTCTCTGGTTGATGGTTTAGACGTAGACAGAAATGGTTTGGTGTGTTGATTATCAGCGAGACGCAGGGTTGAGTTTGGAGAACTAGTTCTGAACTCAAACCAGTTCCAGATTTATAACAACTAATTAGTCATTCATTTTCAATTCCACTTATCGATTCCTGAAATCCACATTAGGTCTATTTTCATGCAGGAGGAAGACTGGTTCCAGAATATATTTTTTTTCTGTCGCTTGTTTCTTTTTCAGGGATTCAAATTGATCTGGTGCTGTGCTCATTAATGGCTGAGTCCCTGTTTGGAATCACAGCTGAGCCAATCAGAGGGTGGGAAGTAGGAGGGATCTAAAATGAGTCTATAGTCATGCTAACAGCTCTGTGAGACTATTTAGATGCCGCTGGTTTTGCAGGTCATAAACCAAATACTGATAATTCTGACCAGATGAAATCAGTGGATCACTATAGTCAGTAAATCCATCCTCTGGTACCTTATTGTATTGGTACAGATGTCTGAAACATTAACCTCCTGACAAACCGCCACTGCAGCTTCTGTGTCGAAAGAGCAAACTAACAAACCCTGCCAAACAGAAGTCAGCTGACGTCAGGCTATGAAGTTTATCTAATATGATTAAGCGTTTCATGCAGCATGGTATGACAATGCAGTTTTTAATGTCCACTGTCATTTTTTGCAATGCATAAAAATCAGCTAATCTTTGCACATCCAACTCCAGTAAAGACAAATGTGCACATGTCAAGAGAGGGAGAATTTATATTTTTACTTTATCTTCCCCTTTAACTAAAACTAATGATAAAATGAATGTGGTCGTTTTTATGGAAGGAAGTCCAAAACTGCTAAAAACATGGTAAATAAAATAGGTTTTTACTTGGAACATTTTTTGGTTTCTTTTCTTATTCTAACAGTATGTTCAGAATCTGAGCAAAGATTCAATAAGCACCAAAATCGATAAGCAGAATCAAAATGATGTACACCTATTATATCCTCTGTACTAAATATATCCAGTGAACGGTTATTTGAGCTGTTTCTGCACAGAGGTCAGATCAAACAAGACAACAACACCTTCTGTCACTCATGGCAGCTCAGGACGGACTGTGGATTTATTGTATGTGCAAATTCTTGCAAGAGGCAATTCAGGTGCAACAGGAATGGAGTCCAAGACACAGTATATATGATGCTACACCATAAGGGGATTGTGTGTGTGCATATGAGCTGTTTTATGTTTGGAATGTGCAAGTGTGTGTGTGTGTGTTTGTTTGTGAGCAAGTTATTCATTAATATGTGGTTTGTTCACGCATGATGTTCAGCAGAATTGGTATTATTTGGACCTACTAACTGACATGTACAGCTAGCAGCCAGTCCGAAGATTTCTCTCTGTGCTCGAGTCGGGTCGGTTTCTCTAAAAAGTCCCACTAGACCCAAAATGCGTCCGCCTCATTCGACGGATTAACCCCAGCTCGCTTTCAGGGACAAACTGGAGAAACTCTATCACACAAAATAAAAACACATTGACATCTTCATGTTCCCTAAAACAGCAGACATTCAATTTTTAAATGCGGTTGCTATGTACAATAGAAGGATCTCTTCATATATTAATATTCTTCATTTTTCCTGTTTTTTCTTCGCCTCCTTGCTGTCAGGTCATTCTGTCCTTTTTGTATTTATAGAGTATTTTCAGTATTTACATTATAAATTACTACACAGTCTTGTGATAAAATAAATAACTTAAATACAATGGCCGTGGCTTTTGCAGTGTCTTTTGCATGAAAGGGAAATTGGAGGGATCGGACAAAGGAGGGACCGAAGGACGAATGAAGACTGAGCCTGGTCTGCTGTTTGCTCCTTGTTGCAGATTTCTGTTTGTTTGTTGCAGTTTTCCTGCAGAACAACACTCAGGGATGAAGTGAAGGCAGAAGCACTGGGAATACATTTTTATTCCCACAGTGGCACGAGGTGGGAAACCCTCTCTGAAGACTGCCCTACTGCTGACCATCATTACAACACGTTTACCATTTCAGATTTCTTAATACAAATGTAAAGGAAAAAGTTCTGCATCTTAAATCTAAAGTTCATGTCACGTCATGTTAAAAAACTTGTTTCTGGTCATTAAAACCATTAAACTGACTGGTGAAACTAACCTGACCGGGTTAAACGGGCTGTGGACAAACTCCAGTTTTTAAAGTGGATGACTGCTAACAAACACCCTACATTTTTATTTGGAAAATGGCTGTCCTCTACGCATCTGAAAAGTCTTTCCACCAGATGTTAGAACATGAATGTAGGGATTTTCTCCCATTCAGCCACAAGAGCATTAGTGAGACTGGACACTGAGACATTGAGTGATAAAAACCTGCCTTGCAGAAAACATTTCAGTTCATCCCAAAGGTGTTGGATGTGGTGAAGGTCAGGAATCTGTACAGGCCAATTAAGTTCTTCCACCCCAAAATGGGAGAACCATTAGGTTGAAATTGGGTTGCTTCCCCAAACTGCTAAGTAGGAAAAACACAAAAAAATCATTGTATACCATAGTATTAAAACTTCTCTTAACTGGAACTAAGGGGCATCACCCAAGATTGCCTGACTTTGTAACTTTAAGTCTATCCCAAGACTTCTTAAATCTGTTTAAGTTATTTTAGTTTCATAGCTCATGTAACAATCATTCAGCAAGTGTTTCCCACCCAAATGCACGCCATGAGAGTAAAATCAGTAGGGAACAGGGTTTGGGTCATGGCAAGTACAGAGGGCTATATTGAGGCTATAATACTGCAGTGGTGGGTAGGGTACGGTCTCTGGTTGCTGGCCCCTAATTTGACATTTTTGAAGATAGATGGAGAGGGAGACGACACAGATTGAGGGAGGAAATAGAGGGAGGGATGAGTGCAAAGCTTCTCCTCCAGCTATACCACTGTTCCACTCGGAGAGTTCCCGTTCTGTGCTGTCAAGTTCTGAACAGAGAGAAAAAACATAAAGGAAGGTTAGACACCAGACCAAGCAAATCTATACTCCACATTAAAGTGCAGGAAGATAAAAAGCCATTGGTGCTCAGAAGAGGAGAGATGAAATAATCTCCAACTGTTGAGTCATATCTTCAGCTTTTGAAGAGGTGCAGCGTGAAATATCCCCCTGGTGACAAATCTGCTCAAAACAGATTACTGACCTGTGAGGGAAAAAATAACTTGTTTGCAGACTATCATTGAAAGTTTTACTGAAAAAAAACCCCCAGCATCATACTAACAACATGTAAGCTAATAGCCAATTATCATTTCACTCTGAATGTCCTGAAATAGAAATCTACAATGAAAAAAGTTTTTTAGGAAAAATAATACATGTAACATTTACATATATATATTTATATTACAGGACATACAGCAGCTTTAGTCTCTTCATCTTGTTTCCAAACATCATTTGGTTCCAGCTTTTAAATTGTGAGAACATGTTGCTTTAACTAATTTGGACTGTTGGGCAGAGGCGTTGTTAGGATGTTGAAACATTAGGGGCCCAGCAACTTATTTCAGGGGAAAATAAATAAAACATGTGACAGTGTGTAGGTTGGCCTCTAAATCTCATCTTGTGTATCATGTGTAGGGGGAAATTACACAAAACACTTTCAAATACTGGGGAGATTTTTTGGCTTCTGAATAAGTAAAAGTGATGCTGACTGAATAGACACATTTTCCCCCTGTAGGATGAAGGAGTTATTGATCGTGTGTTACGACCCCGGCTCTCAGGCCGCAACAAAGAAGGAGGATGCAACTCAGGTTGAACAATACAGATACATAAATTTATTAAAATAACACAAATCAAAGGAACAGTGTGGCAGAGCGGTGTGGAAGGCACAAGCACCGACACAGCACACAGGTCCAACACCAAGAGCTCTTGGGGCCGTCACATGTGTAAATAATAATATTAAAATAATAACAATAATCATAAAAAAAATATAACTGATTATAAGCAACCAACCTCGCTGCAGGCAAGGGAGGAATTTAATGACCAGTTGCTAACTGGCTATTGAAAGTAAACTATAGTAGCTTGGTAGCTACCTAAATAGGAATTAGTCTTATTTATGATGATTTACAAATCTACGGTGGCGATGTGGCAGTGGATCAGCCACATGCCTTTGGTGTGACAGCCCCGGGTTCGGTTCCTACTGCAACACATCCACCAATGTTTCCCTGAATAAGACACTTAGTGAAATATATTATTTCTCTATATCTAAAAAGATCTCAATAGATAGAGCGATTGTAAGCAGATGGATAAAAGCGTCAGCTTAAAATATATAAATGTATAATAATATGTAAAGGTGCGCCTTGGAAATACTTGTTTTCATTAATGGTGTGTCTTGTAACTAACATGTTAGAGAGCCACTGAGCTAGACTATCTATCTAGCTAATAAGCCCTTTTCTTCACCAACCTGAACTTCCTGACTCATCTGCTGCTACAGCAACAGGAAATAACTCTCACTCCACTTCCTCCAGCCTCGCCGCCTTAATCATTTTTCTTTTTAAAAAAGCTTCTCATATCAGTGGCCTTCAAGTCTTGCCTTAGTGCATTAGCTAGCTACCACTAGATACCGACAAGGACAACCCCTGTAACCGGTACACGCTCTCTCTGTGTCTTTCTTGCTGACACAAAATGCTTTAATTATGACACTCAGAGGACCCAAAATGTATTTATGTTTTAGATCAAATATCACATTATTTGCCAGGGATTTACTGAATTGGAATGATAGATGAATAGATCTTTTTATTATTCTAATTTTTGTATAAAAAAAAACAAAAACAATTTGAGATCCAAGGCTATTCATAAAACATACGGGGCTGTAGCCTTGGACACCCAGACATAATGATGCCACTGCAGTAGGGTGACCACAGATGTCAACTTCAGCTCTGAGGACTTGTGATTGGCATTTTTTCCCTATTTACTGACACTTAAATGAATAAATAATACTAACTGAAAATAATGATAATAACACGACAATAGAGAAAATTATATTTAGTTATAGCCAATGTATTTCATAATCCAATGTTTTTCTAATTGAAGAGTTCATTGAAAACATACCGCCTTCCCCGGCCGTGCCCAGGTGCAGATGAGACCCTCCTGGCAGGCTGTGATGATGCAGTCGTCCATGAACACCAAGACGGTCAGCCTCTCATGTGCAATCTTCTTGCACACCAGCGGTTCCAGCAGCGGCACCTCATGCATGCGTGGGCACAGCGTGGTGCCCAGGACCTTGGCAGCGTCCAGCCGGTTGCTTCTCGGCGCTACGTTAATCTTATCGTTGCTTTTGCTGATGTTGCCAAGGCTGTGGTACCTCTTGTGCTCCTTCTCCACCCCACCGCTGCAACCGGACTTGTCTGACTTGCGCTCCTGGAGTGACAGCGTAGCAAAACGGCCAATGCTGAATGGGGTGATGTTTGCTCCGCTGCTGCTCCCTCCGCCTCCTCCAACTCCCCCGCCGCCTTCCGAGGTGCCCTGGCCCTTGGAGACATTTGCCACGGCGGGGTGAGGCAGAGAATTGGAGCGAGAAAGGGAGCGAGGAAGCGGTAAGGGGAGCGTTGGTGGGTTGGAGGTGCCGGTGTTAGTGTTCGGAGGGTGATGGTGCCCCTCAACCCCTCCACTTCCTCCCACACCTGAGGTGCTGTTGACCACACCGCTGCCAGAGTTGGACAGCGAGGGTCCAAAAGTGTTAGTAAAGGCGCGGGACAGTGGCAGACGTGGGTATAAAACGTCATCCGTCAAGTCCCACAGACAAAACTGAGTGTCCTGCCCCACTGAGCCAAACCGGTATGTGACCGACGCCGAACCACCACCTTTAGAGCTGTGCCGAGAAAGACGCGACAAGGTGCTGCTCGTTCGAACCCGACCAAAGTGCATGGAGTTATTTAGTGCCCCCTGGTGGAGGTCTTCCTCACTGCCGCTAAGCTCCATAGGCTCCTCATCTTCCAGAGAAGTCGTGAAGGGGTCAAATGCCACCACATTGACCCAGGACTTGTGGCCGTGACCTCTTGCTACCACACGGCTTTCTGCAAATGACCAGACGGTAACCAGGTCATCCTCTCCGCCTGTGGCGAGATATTTCCCATCGGGGCTCCATGACACACACAGCAGTCCACCGAAGTAGCTCTTCATCACCCCCTGCAGCTCCATCGAGTCAAAGTGGAAGACACGCAGGCAGCCGTCCTGGCCCACGCACGCCACATGCACACCATCCGGAGAGAAAGCGAACTCGTTGAGGCCTCCCTCACCCACGGCCCATCGTAACAACGGGTTGCGTGGTGTCTTAGTTTTACAGGCGTAGACAGCAAAGCCCTCGCCCTGACGCAGGAGAGAGTACTGTGGGGCCGTGGTGCCACATGGGTGCTCCACGTTGTAGAGGTAAAGGTGGCCGCTGGCATGGGAGGCAAGGAACAGGTTCTCCGACTTGGGAAGCCATTTTAGACACGTCACCTTGGATTTGTCTATCAACCTCTGGAAAACAGGAAGAAAGTGGATGGAGGAAAAGTGAGGAAGTGGAAGGAAGGAGAAGGACAGGGAAGGAAAGAAGGAAGAGCGGATGGAAATAATTGAGGAATAGATGAGAAAGAGTAACATAAGGATATTACCGATGCTATGCTTTTAGATTTAGTGCTTTTATGTGGGCACTGTGTAGTCTTCTCATTGCTAGCAAAATGTGTGATCTAAAAACACTAAATACAATTTGTTAAAGAATGGGAAGGATCTGAATCAAGAGACAGGCTACAGCAGAGACAGTGAGAAGACAGACTGAAACCAACAGAAAGATAGAACTAGGGGGTGGAAGATGAAGAAAGAAAAAGATTTAGAGAAGTAAATCCCAGGGAGGGGAAAAGAGTCAGTCTGCATGCAGTAGTGCACACATGCATCCCCAATCTCCTAAATTTAATTGGGAATCCCATTAAAGAGAATCCCATTAAAGAGAAAGAGGCAGTCTAGGAGGTGCAGTAAAAGAATGTGAAAACGAAAAAGCATAGCGTTAGAGGGACAACTCTGAAGACGAATTTCGAGGCTACATCACAACATCCAAACTGGGGCAAAAACAAATCAATACAAGAATGAAAAATTACTTCTGAAGTATTGTCGCTGGCTTTAATCACAAGAACACAAAGAGCTGCTACTTTCCCAAACACAGAGGAAAACAAATATGCGCAGACATACGCAGGTAAATATAATACCTCCTCATTGAAGAGTTTACTGGTTTCCTTCTTGATGGGGTCGAGATACTGGACCTGTCCAGCTGAGAATCCTACGATGAGAGCCACGCTCTCTGCTGTGGCGGAGTACTGGTTGAAGTCGTGACATGTCGGCTGAGTCCCCTTGTAGATTCTCTTGTCTATTGGCTTACTGAGGTCTACAGCCTGCAGACAGACAGATCGGAGAAAGAGAACCATGATGCACAAGCAAAACAACAGCTCAGAAGAGTGAAGGGATTTTCATTGTTTCATTTCTGGGCCCTTTTATAATTTGGTGATATGTTTTTCTTATTTTGACAAATGATCGTCAAACGTTGATGACAAAAAGTCACAATGAGATATTTCACTGCAGCTACAGCAGTTTGATAGAAAAGACAGTTTTCATCTGTCCAAAAGATCGATAGTAAACATCAGGTTTTTGTGTCCGAATGAAGGGCTGCTGTGTGTGCTGATTCAACACAAGGAGAAATCCATCAAGTTAGATTCAAGAGTGGCCACAAAAGACCAGAATGCAACATGGCTGCAGGAGTATTTGTAGACTGGAAACGCTCACACATATTATCGGACTGCCCACTGACAGAGCAGCAGAAGTGCGTTGTTGTGAAGTTTTAAATATACATGACTTGGCTACTTGAAGGGAGACACAATTAACCATGACAACTTGGGGTTCAGTATCTTAATGAACGATCCGCTCTACCAGCCACAGCTGGCCTGATTACTACTACTACTACTAATAATAATAATAATAATATGAGGTTTCAGCAGTGTGTTAGCCGACTCAAATGGGTATCTTTTAAAGTTACACTTTCCTTAGTATAAATTTACGTTACTAGCCCCAGCCTGTCCCAACTCTGTTTATGTAAACAAAAAGAGGCAATTTCAGCAGCTTTAGATAAACCTGGAATGCATTTCTGCACAAAAAGAAGACTAGACTTTGTCCCCCATCTCTCTCATTGGAAGCACGTTAAGAAGGCAGGTCTAAACAGCAGGATGGATTACTGCAAGCTGAAACTGTTTAATGGACAATGGAGTTTAGTTTTAAGACTAGTAAAAATGATAACCTATTCTTTAAATACATGCGTGGTTTGCAGTCAGTGTGAAGACGTTCCTCTCTTCTATGATTTTTTCAGGGACACTTTGAGAGATGAAAGCATTCTGGGAAATGTAGCAAGTCACTGATTGAAGCAGAAGTCGTTGAGGTAAACCAGTACACACTGGTTAGTGATTTGCAGCTGAAAGGATGTGTGGAACTAAAAGCAAGCTGCATTGGTGAAGTGAATGTTGTTGGAGAGGAAGAATCATCCCTACTGATTACACGTAAATGTGCCAGAGGATGAACTCTTACCTCTGACTTCACAGTTAAATCACTCAGTGTTTGCAGCAGTGAAGACTGAGTACAAACTTTACTCTTTAGTTTCCTTCACATAAAGAAGATTGTGAGCCCATTTTGAGGATGGGGAGTATAATTTACATGCCATGCTGATGGTGACATGTATCTTCATGTAGTCTTACATGGTCTTACATGGTCACCTGCATGTTAATGTGTCTGCAAGTGATTTACTGCAGAAACCACGAGTCAATGATCTACACATAGGTGTCATGAAGACCCACCTTCCTGGCAAACTAACTACATTTATCGTACTTGTGGAGTAATTTGTTATGACACGGAAAAGAGAAAATGATAAATCTAAAAAAAGGTGTAACTTACGGTGTGCAATGATAGAGAAGCTTTGACATTTAAAAAAATCTAGTCCTTCCAACATTTTCCCTCATTGATCTGAGTCAGGTTAGAAGAGGAGAAGCTTTTTATGTTTGTCCTCCAGTTCCTCCTAAATGGGTTATTAGCATTCCTCATTAAGAAGCAAGTGGTGCAGCTAACTGCAAGCAATTTCAGCTCTCTTCCATGGCAAATGCTAGCAATGCTAAAAACAAGCTCAGTAAGGAGAAACTAGAGGACGAATACAGACTCTTTCCTTCAAGAAAAAAAACCTGATTCTACATATCAGATTTCTGTCATGTGGACCTTTGATAGAGATTTTTGTAAGTGAATAGATTAAAAGCATTGGCAATAGTATGGTTATGTGATGTTTACACTGAATTCTGACTCTTAATATCAATAATCTAGGCTACTTCATGAGGGGACAAGCAGACCTCACGGTCTGTAATGCAGTGTGTTTGCAAACCATCTGCTTGGAACTGATTCACCTTGCACCGTCCCTCCTTCAGCATGAGTACGTTTACAGCAGCTCCAAACTAACAAAGATTCAAATGAACATTCAAAATGTAGTATAGAGAGAAGAAACAGCTTTAGTTCACATGGTTCACCCGTAAAACGGCAGTGAAGGGTGCTGTGAGAGCCTTCCTGGCTGTTTCCTGCTTGTATAGTAACACTGTTGCCCTCCTGTAGCGTTCACTGACACTGTGCAGCCGTCTGGATGATGCACCATTCACTCTCTACTCAGCCACTCCATTTTGCACTGCACAACAAGTAGCAATGCAACGTGTGCATGTTCGCAGATCTGTGCAGCACTAGCAGCCACAGAGGTTTAGTTTAAAAACATGAGGAAATACCAGCGAACAGCATCAAATTAGCAGTTTAGGCTAACATGCTAGGCTAAGGCTGACCATCCAATATGTCATTCTGGCCAATAGCGGGGGAAGAACTGGCTCACCTTCTTTATGTTGGTGTACGTGTAAAAATACAGCTCCCTGCCGATGTTGAAGCACACCCGCTCCGACTCCTCGCTCGGGTCTTCTGGCTGCAGTTTGACCATAGAGACCCGGACCGGCGGTAAGAAACCCGCCGGAGAGGAGTTGGCTGCGGCATTGGAAGACGAGGAGGCGGCGGCAGCCCCGGGCCCCTGCAGCAGCCCGACCCCTCCGCCGGGTATCGGACCGGGTCCAGCCCCTGGGCCCAGCGTGGCTCCGGCAGACGGACCCCGCGGCAGCCCGCCCCGCTGCTGCGAGTCCGAGAGGGTGAGCAGCTTGTAGAAGCCCTCTCTGGTCCGGAACTGGGATTTAATCTCATTGATATCCTTCAGAGCGCCGCCATCTCCGGCCATTTTTAGTACAAACAAGCCGCACAGGAAACTGAAATTTTGACCTGGAAATAATAAAGCTACAATAAAAAAGTACTAGAATAGAAATGGGAGAGGCGAAGGCGAGCAGCAGCAGCCGAGCTCCGCTAGGCCGACCAGCACACCCGGTCTGCTCCAATGCATTTTACACCAGTACCAGCGACCGGACCACTGCTACCAGTTAAATAAAGCCCGAGAGAAAGCCCTTCTCAGCCGGTATAAGCATCATCCTCGACAGGGTCTCTGCCCCCGTTTATCCAGTGTGCGTAAAGTACGTGCGATGATGCGTCGACTGCTGCTGGCCCGGCCTGACACTGCGCACTCCCGCTAATGTGTCGGGGGGTACAGAGAGGGCATCCTGCCCTGGACAGCTTGCTTCGTTTACACCCCCTCCAATTTAACCTCTCAGTGGCATCCAACAGGACCACCTTAAAAATACGTGGAGTCAAGTGTGCTACTTTGTAGTCCCGCCCTCATGAAAAAAACAACAATATAATTGGCCTATTGCTTCCGTGAAGTTTTGTGGTTACCTCTTTATAATGCAACATAGAAAAATAACAGGCTTATTTTTATAGAGAGAGATTAGTGCCAGCAGAGATGGCTTCATTTGAATGACAGAAACCAACCATTATGCTCACATTGAGAAAATTGCGTTTCGCGAATTAATCAATTCAAATTAAGGATTTGTAATGCACACTTTACAACTGAATGCAGCGGCTCGATTAGTTAGATGAAAATATTACTGACTGTATGTGTTTGCTATAAATTAAACTTAGTCTTTGCCCTCATGCCCCTATGTTCATCAGATGTGACCTACTCACAACACCCAAACACACTAACAGGGATTTACTTAATTAACCATCACCTCTCATTAATAGTTACTTGAAACATTTGCCCTCCAAGATCAATACAGTTCACCTCATCTTGTGTTAATTAACTTTATTACAGTGTAATGGAGTGATAAGTGTGTATCTTTGATCCAACACTGATATACAAACGGAGGTTACAAAACACACATCATGAGCAACAGCAGTGCTGCTAAGCTCCAGTCCTTCCTGCTTGCATGTGGCATCTTCGGGAAGCCATATGTTTCAGTCCCCTGCAGGTGGCTGCTGAGGTGATTGACAATACTGAAGGCAGATGAAAGTTGATAATCCTCTTTGGTGTCAGATGAGGACCTTCCTTTACTATTAATTTAGGGTTTTCTCAGCTGTCTGAATTATGTAGATTGTTCTGGATTTCACAAACCAAGTTGAAATTAGCATAAATAAGAGCAGACTCCCCCAGATTGAGGGATAAAGGCTACAACACAACAATCCTTTTGGGTCAGTATGAATTTGCAACATCCTCTCGTCATTTCCTTCTGACATTTCTCCTCTCTTCCCATTAGAAAATAAAATACTGTGGCAGCGCATCCATGTCTGTCAAAGTTAATGATGACTGATGAAGTCCTGGGTAGAGGCATTAATATAGAAGACGAGTTGGGATTTTCCCACAGTGTCCTGTGCCAGCAGACAGGAGAGTCAGGGCAGCATGACGTAGTTCTCAGCAATATCCAGGACATACAGGTTGGACAACCCCGTCTGGTCCTCGGTCTGACGCGTCTCCAAGACGACCATCCTGCAGTGAGAGGGTCAGGGAGGTCACAGAACGTCAAGCACGGATATAGTGGAGTTTAAACAATGAAAATCTTAATAGGTGGCATATTTATAAGGTACACCATAACCGTTATGAATAAGTTATAAGTTATGAATGGGTAAAGGTCACATACATTTTTCTGTCTATGATGTAAATGTAGAATATATCCTAATATGCAATTCACATATAATCCCAATATTAACCTGCTTCACCTCAGTACCAGACATAAAGCAGTTATTTTGTTACGTCTAGCTTGGTAAAGCAAATCTCTGCATGGTTTTGTTAGCCATGCATGGCTCTAGGAACGCCAATGTCTGTCTGACGGTTGGAATGCAATATCTCATCTCAACGTGTCTACACACATCCATGGTTCTCAGGGGATGACTCCTAATTACTCTGGTGATTCTCTGACTTTTCTTTCAGTGCCTCCACGAGGTTGATGTTTTTAATGAAATTCTATTGAATGGCTTTCCATGAATTTTTGGTAACACAATTATGATCCTCTCAGGTTGACTCATAATAACTATGGTGATCGTCTGACTTTTCATCTTGTGCCATCAAGTCAAATTTTTTTCCACTACTATGACCAAAAACCTGCAAAACTAATTTCTTTTCAAATTTCCAAATGTCAGCATGCTAACACAATAAAATTTGATTGTGAACATGGTAAACATTATACCTGCTTATCTTTAGGATGTTAGCATTGTCATTGTGAGTATGTTAGCATGCTGATGTTATTGGTTGTGCCTCAGCGTAGCATTAGGCCCTAATCAGACAGAATGCGTTTTTTTTGCAGTGAGAGGTGCCTTTTTTAAATTGTTTTCTATTGGCAGTGAGCGTTTTGCGGGCTGCTAATGCACCCTGGGTGCCTTGTGTTTTACAGAGCTGCTAAGCTAGCTGAAGACTCACAGACAGATTGATGTGTTTTACATTTCCTAGTTGTTTATAATAAACAGAAGCTGAGCTGATTAGTTGGCAGTAACAACAAAAGCCACTATGCCCAAACAGATAAAGGAAAGAAACTTTGGTATCAACAGAAAATCTAAGCAACCAGACATTAAAGACATACTGTACCTGTCTTTTTGCACCAGTCTGTAGATCTTCCTGGGGTCAGTGTTTTCCTCCAGCACCTCAGTGAAACCTTGTCTTCTCCTCTGCCAGCCGTGACGCCACACTGCCAGCAATGTGTCCTCCAAATACACTGGACAGATAAACGGACAGAGTCAATTCTGACCTCTAATCATCTAAAATATGAACTATTTCTGGTTTGTGACTTGATGTTCTTACCTATAGACTCAACATTATGAGAGAAGGTGGTCTCATGTGGCGGATGCCTGTTGCTCTTCAGCTCCCCCTCCAGACCAACTATATGTACCGATTCTGTGGAGGAGAGAGACTCAGTGTTGGAGTACCACCAGCTACATCAGTGTGGAAATACAGAAGTAGACAGAACATGGACAAAACATAATGCAGAGTTTGCACGCTATTATAGATCCCATCATCACAATTATGGGCAGAGCTGAATGTCTCTGCCAGATCTGCTCCCTGCATAACAAACAAACACCTGAGCTTAGCAACCACACTGCTTCTGCTCATGATGGTGGATCCATAATTCACAATCTTTATTTGAATTATTGTAGTACTATTAGGGGTTTTCTCAATCCCTTGACAATGTTAAGTCTGCCCATAGAAGAATATTGATATTTTCACCTATACTGAATTGGTCCCATTACTGTCTTACAAAATTGCAATTTTGTGTGATTATTTGTACTTTTGTATGTACAACAAAGGGTCTCTCTGTGAAGCTGATAATGTTCAGTGTGAAAAAGAGGTGTTGATTTAACTCTGTTAACAATATTGTACAGATATTTGTGTTATAATTTGCACCTCTGTATAAAGTTAATATTAATGAGATATGTTAAATGAAACTTGTATTACTTACTTTCTATGAGGATGAGCAGTGAGCTACTGTCCAACTGCCTTACTTGAACTACATCTGGGCAAGGTTTCTCTGTAAGAACACAAAAGCCGAAAACAGAAACATCAGCGTCAAAATAAAAAGGTTTACTGGGAATTCAGATTGTGTTTGTAGCTCCTTGTATTTTATAGTCTCAATACATTATGATGCAGGATCAACCTACCCAGGCCAGAGTTGGTGAACCAGGATGTGTTGGAGTTGAGGTTGATGTATTCTACAATGACTGGCAGATTGGGGCTGGACCCCCGAGAGACGCCGATACACACCAGCGGGTACTCCTGCTGGGGCATCATCACCATCTCAAACACCCGCACAGGGTTGGGCAGGGGGAATTCAAAATTCTGAGGGAAAGAGGAAAGGTGTAAGTTAAGAGTTTAATTAAAAAGAAATGGGGAGGGCGATAGGTGGCAACACGCAGCAAAGGGCCGCAGACTGGACTCAAATCCCGGCCGCTGCAGTGAGGACTCAGCTTTGTATGTGGGGCGGGTGCGCTACCAAGTGAGCTAGCCACGCTCCGAGAGTTTAATCTAATTTTAAATGGCCTTGGATATTTAGCTGTGGTTTCATCTCACATAAGGCAGCAAAGACAGCAGACAAGTGTTTTGTTCAAGGGCACTTAAATCTACAACATTTTAACCACAGCATGGTGTGAAAGCGTAATGTTGAGTCTATTCTCGAAACCATAACAATTTTATGATCAAAGGTCTAAAGCTAACTCATAAATTTAATAGTGATTATAAAAAGGCTTCACTTCCCTGCCAGCAGTCATTTTATTAGCTGCTGTCAGTGTTAACAGTCCAATAAAAATGGTAAAAACTGAAAGACAATCAACAAGGATAGGCCCATCATTTCAACTTGCACATATATTTGTTGTATTTTCATAATTAATATCCTATTTAGCATTCATGAGTTTCCCTTCATCAAAGTATGTTATACTGTTCCTTTTTGCATACTCTTTTAATATATGACCTTCAGTCCAAGATGCAGCAGAAATGTGTGAACTTTACAGGAAGAGACAAGGCTGTGATTTTGATACAATTATACATGAAAATGCATTTTTTTTTTAAACATCGTCATGGAATAATGTGTGGACCTCTAAATGAAGCCTGATGCTGTGTTGCAGTTGCAATTTGCTGCCATATTGACAATGATAAATACATCTCAGAAACATCTGGGTTGAAAAATCCTGTCCTAGATGTTATGTAGGAAATCTGAGTGAAATATATCCTGCTTAAATTGAAAAGGCTCAAGTGTTCAGAATGTCACTGAGTACAGAACACTTTCTAAAATTAAAATAAAAATAAAATTAAAATGTTTAATACACATACCTTAATGAGCATGAACTTGTGCATGGGTTCGTACCACTGCAGCAGCACTACACTGGACTCCAGAGCGCAGCACAGGAACACAGAGCCTCGCTGCATGTTACTTGCTACAGGAGATAACACAGAATACGTTTTAGTTGGTTATCTCTCTGAACCAATCAACACAGTAAAACTGTCTAATGAACAGGAATCTGACTCCTTTAGTGTTCATAATGTAAACTAGCGCGCAGCTACTTTTTTTTCAAACAGTGCCAATAGCTATTTAAAGGGAAGCAAAGAGGTGTAGAAGAAAAGTGGATGTGGAAATGTGGAAACCTTTCCAGCACACCAACTACAGCTGAACTCTCTCTCTCTCTCTCTCTCTCTCACACACACACACACACACTCACACATTATTGCAGTGCAGGAAAATAATGCCAAATTTTATAATATGCATAAGAAAATTTGTATTGTACTATAAAATATCAAACATGATTATTTTATTTTTGCATTTTGTCTCACCAACTGAGCAGGTCTTGCAGCCTTTGGTATCAGGTATTTTACATGTCACTGCACATTTCCTGAAAATAGATAATAGAGTTTTTTAATTGGCATGAGCAGATGTGGTTTTATGAGACAATATGTTCACACACAGAGAGAGTCCAGTGTTAACCTTGGTAAGAGTCTGTGAGTCGGCAAGGCAACCATCCTCTGGTCTTTCCGAGCCTGTTCATACAACTCCTTCAGTAAATGGGAGTGAAGATACGATGATTTACCTGTAAACACAGGATCAGTTTGAAAGTTCATTATATTCAACCAATTCATCCTGTTGATAATCTCAGACAGCTGCAGCCACCACAGGGCGAACACAAGGAGACAGACAAACACTCACATTCATAACTACGGCTTAAAGACTCAACATGCAGACATGCTAACCATTAAACCACCCAGTTTTAGCACTTTACTGCAGACTGTCAAACACCTTCAATAATATGGTGGATAAATACTAATATGATTATTAAGGAATATTTTCCTTTATATTTTTATATTTCTTTGCTAGAAATGCTCTGAAACACATTGATTCTATAACATCCTCAGCTTCGTTAGAGGCTCCTCAATATGTTCTTTAGACAAAAAATTCCAGTAAGAATTCTAATTGTCTTATCCTCTTTTCCAGTAAGCTCCAAGGGAATAGAGCCACACAGCTAAATTAGGATCCAGTTCTTATTTAACACTTGTTTATTTTACCTGATACAGACATGAGGACGTTATTAATGGTGTAGACCCAGGTACACTTCCCGGGATACAACTGAAAGAGAAAGAGAAGACATCCATTTATTCACTGCTTCCTTAGTGCTTCAGTGTCTCTTTCAAAAGCACTTTTCAGGCAACAGGACTCTTTTGTGATCACATGTGACAAATTCTACTCTGTCACAATCCTCTTTCAGAGCCTGGATAGCTCAGCCGGTAGAGCATCAGACTTTTAATCTGAGGGTCCAGGGTTCAAGTCCCTGTTCAGGCGAGAGTTTTAAGACACTTGGATTCAAAGAATACTTCAGTTTGATCACTTGCTGTGTCTTAATTGCATAGTATGCACTTTACACAAATTGTCGTAGTATACTGACGAGAAAGACTCTCTCTCCCTCCAACCGATCGAAGGCAGACGGCCTCCCACGCTGAGTCACAGTTCTGTTCAAGGTTTCTACCTGCTAAAAGGAAGTTTTTTCCTGCCTGTGTCACCACGTGCTTACTCATAGTGAGAACTGTTGGGTCTCTCTGAGTACAGTCTAATCTGGACCTGGTTTTGCAACAGCGTACTTGGATGTTTGTACATCCTGGCTCTTAAAATTGTACTTAGCACTGTGTAGCATCTCAGCCTAACTATCTTCGCTGTCTACCAGCAATGGCTGACCAAGCAATTTTGAGTGCATGAAACTTATGTTGACATCCTTACTCTACCGACATCTTTCTTCTGACAACTTATTGTAAGTTGTTTTGGACAAATGTGCCTGCTAACTGCCCTAAATGTAAATGCATGTTGTGATTGGCTTTTTTTAATTGTTTATTTGTTTATTTGAAAAGGGACTATGTACACTGATCAGCATTCAAAGCAAATGAAAATGTAATGAGTTAGCCTAGTTTTCATCCCGGCAGGTCCCTTGCCAGATGTTACTGGGCATCCTAAAGTAGTAAACTGCTATTATACAGTAAAATACATTATACAATAGAAAAAAATTACACTGTGTTAAAAAAAAAACCCAATTGATTAAACAAAATGAGCAGATAAAATCTAAAAATAGATGATACAGTTATTATTGTTGGATAGGACCAGTGTCAGTGTTGGTTTTCAATAAGCCATTTCTTAACATTACTCTTAAATGAGTAATAGGATGGCGACTCTCTGATTGATGGTGGTACTGAGTCCATTGATGTGATGCTGTGAATGAAAAGACGGCCTGGCTAAACGTAGTTTTTTTTGAGTGGGATTGTGCAGTCGCTCCTAGCTGCACCTCAACCACCACCAACTCTGTTTGCGGTTGATTTGAAGTTGAAAAGGCCAGACAAAGGAGGAGCTTAGCATAATCTTTTTGTATTTGATAAGATTTTATACTTCTTTAGAATATGACCATAATGGTAACTACATGGCCTTTTGACTAGAGTTTTAAGTGCATTGGATCAACTCATCAGACAGTAGGTGATGTGGGAGAGAACCAATAAGTATAAGTTAGCTGCCTCAGTTGATAGAAGGTTTCTGAAATACCTGAAATATGCCAAAGTGAAATTTCCTTTATTACGGACCCCCTTTATGTAGGTTTTGAAGGCAATGTTTGAGTCTATGTGTAGTCCTAAATACTTAATCCTAGTCCTAAATAATTGAACAGCATCACAAAAACCTCAGGAACAAAATGTTTGCCAAAACAATATTACCAACAACTAAAGCAGATCCCTTTTGTCAGAGTGATTTTCAGTCTCCTCGTAAACCACCTGTTGTTTCCGACCAAAAGACTGTAAAACACAGATCCACAATGTAGCTCTGTATTAATTAGATAAAGTTCTTACCAGCTCCAGCGTGGCCTCAGAGCCGTGGAGGTTCAGGGTGTAGATTCCTTCCTCTGCCCCCAGGATCAGATGCTGATCTGAGGGGGAGAGATAAGAAACACAGGACGGTCAGACAGATAAAGCAGAAGACTGATAAGATGAGAAAGAGCAGAGAATTCACTGTGCACTTTATTTGATGATACAACCTCTGGTAGCCGGGTTTTCCCAGAATGTGGAGCAGTTTATTTTAAGAGGGCAGCCATGGAAGACCTTTTTAAAGTAGACCTGGAGAGAAAGGGGATTGTTCATATGATTAATTTTAACTTGAAGCCACTACATGAATGCTCTTAACAGAATGACTGTATTTATCCGCTATATCTACAAATAAACACCTACGGTACTCCCACAAGAGGCTTAGTGTTTAAATGGTAAATGTCAATTGAGGTGATATAACTGAGGTTATTATCACGTTAAAACATCAGGCAAGGAAATTATGTGTAATTTTTGAACACACATATACTGCAAACTATGAACTTTTAATTTTACTTCATGATTATGTGTTATCATTTCTTTACATAGAAGCTTTGAGACAGCATTTTAACATATGTTCATCATATCATATAAATACCCAAACCACATTTCACACATACAAATACACAATAAATATATTTATAGATTCAGTGCATGGATGTAATAATGTGTATTAACAATGCATATATTCTTACTTGTGAATGATTCACATTCATACATCTGGACATGAATTTTATTAACACACACATTTTGTTACGTTTGTCTAAATTTTTTATTTAAATTATTCTGCTCATCTCGCATATTAATATTGCTGCTATATACCAGAAAAGAGACACATGGGTTTAAATGTTTCAGCAGTTTTGTCTGCTGTTTTTTTTTCAGAAGTTGATGATGATCTCAGAAATGCAAGATCCAACCTCCTAATCTTAAACTCAAGATATTGCACTAACTATGGAGCCTGCTGAAAATAAATTGTTAATAGTTTCTCTTGGGTAAGCGCTGATATGAAGGGAGGAGAACTTCTGGCAAAGCATCAGAAACTCACAGGAGGTTTCTTCATGACGGGGCTGGCACACTCAACGGGGTCCTGAGAACAAAAAGGAAAACCTCATGATAAGTGTGTCAGGACGCAGTGTGAAGGAGAGAAGATGTATAATTGAAAAGAAAATGGAAGTACGTAACCTAGTTATCTAAAGCTGAATGTTAGCTTCTGTAAATCTGAATGGGCTGAATTTCATCTATACTTTTTTATTATTTCACTTAATTTAACACAATTTCTGTGTCTTGGGGATATTTCTTCACATCATAGTGGGTTGTCTACAGGCACTCTTAGGCGTGGTGTTACAAGTACAGAAAAAAGGAGAAAATAAATAATTTCACCTTTGATGGGGGTTGCCGTCTTCGTATGCCTTTAGGGGGGAGCTCAGGAGGAAGGAGGTCTGCCGGGTTGTCATTCAACCGGGGAGAGAAGGATGCGGGGTCTGGATCAAACACACATAAACACTTCATAGGAAACTGTGTGATATCATTTGCACTGCATTTATATAAAAAGGCATATGTATTTTCTGTCATTGAAATGTCCTGAAATATTTCCCGTTTATCAAAACACATTCTTGAATAATGCTTTACGTAAATGGACAAAGGTGCTATCCTGACTGCTTTGCAACATTTAGTCAGTTCAGTACATTACACTTGTGTGAAGGATATAGTATAATGTAATCAAACCATGTATTCGACTAAAGGTGTTTGAACACTATCACAGCACCATGTTTGTACTGAAAGGAAATAAAACAGAAATGCTCACGCTGTTTGTAATCACTGTAAAAGGACAGTATAAAGGTGAGGCAGCTCACCTGAGTGTCGTGAAGATCGGGGTTTGGGCGTAGGTCGGACATGCGTCCCACTGGAGGTCCTCATGAGAGTGTTGGGGGCATAAAGAGAGCAGGGTTTCCTCGCTCGGTCATCTTCCCCCGCAATGCTTTCCTCTGAGCTGGTCCTCGCTTTAGGCTGCACACAAACATACTGACTTGAAATACTGCGCTTGGTAAACATACAGAACATTGAGTGTTGATTTTAAATAGCACAAACTGCTTACTGATCTTATCTAAAACAAAAATGACAGAGCAGGAAGAGGTTTGATGTGTCCCAGGGCTCACTAGCTGATGTGGGAACTAAATGTGTGACCTACACTGTAATATTTTGACTTCCTCTGTGCCTCTCATTCAAAAAGGTGTTGTTTAATGTGATACCTCTGAAACTGTGCATGGGAAAAGGTTTTCTGCATTAGCCGTTAACACCTTTAACACATTTAAAATGTCAGCATGTACATGAATGTAATAAAAGACAATACAATGTCAAAATAACTGAAATTGTTTGGATGCAAAAACTGTTTTAACAAGGCTTTGGCTTCATAGACACAGCCCTGTCATTGAAATAAACACACATAAAAACCATGTTATTTGTTCTCTGTCCATTCAGTAATCACCTTTGGAGGAAGAGGAGGTGGGATTTCATCAGCTGGCATCGTGAGACTGTTGGCAGAGAGAGTATTGGTTCAGTCTGGTGTGTTAATGATGCATATACACATTAATGCAGATGTGAGTTTGTCTTTATTTAGCTAACCTTGTGGCTTGCATCGTAGGGCTGAAGTGGACAAAAGACAGAGAGAAAGTTTAAACGCAATCTATTGAAATTATTACATATGATCGACCATATATGTTTATAAAGAGAAAGGAAACGTGCAATTAAATATTTCTGAGGTGGCTCCGTTCCTGAGCTTTAATAAATTACAAAACAAGAACATACAATTGTATATGTTTGTAATGTATTTAAATCCAAACGTAGCATAACAGTTCAAATTTAGGCTACAGTAGTGTTTTGGAATCAATCATCCATATACTGTAGTATTTTGTTAAATTGTGTGACATTTTCTTACATATCCACATCATCGTAGTCATCGTCTGAGTCTGTGTCTGGATCCCTGAGAGAGAAAGACAAAAGAGAGGTTAAATATTTGTATCAGATATTGCTGTTTAATGTGAGTACATGTCTGTGACTGATCTGTGATCCAGTTACCTCATCGGACTCTTGCTACTGCCGGTTGATCCTGGTGAAGGCCTTAACTGTAAGAATCACATGAAATTACAAATTGTTGTAAAAGAGGTTATAGTCAATGACTGCAAACTTATGCCACAGTAAACAAATGAGAATTCCTGAACACAAAGTTCACCTTTGACGAATAGTTCTTGTTGACATTTACAGGACATAACACACTGTTTATCATCATGTACCTGCTCTAAAATCAGCAATGTTGACTCTTTACAGATTGTGAAAATAACAAATATTTACTTTGCAATACTAACACGGATAAAGACAGGCTGGACGCATCACTAGCTGTAGCCTGTAAACATCCTATGTACAGTGTGTACTATGTGTGCGTGTGTATATCATAATATCATATATATATATATATATATATGTACAATAATAAATCTATGTATGCATGTGTAATTTGTTCATGTGCATGTGTTCTGTTTGTACTTTATGCATGTATGTATGTATGCAGTAATGTATGCCTTTATGCTCTATATGCATGTATGAACATACTGCATATGCATTTATGTTTGTATATATATGTATGTTTTGTGTGCGCTTTTAGATCGATAGATAGATAAATAGATACATAGATAGATTAAATGTGTCGACTAACCGTTGTGTCTGGTGAATCTTTCTTCACAGGCCTCTGTGTGTAGATTTGTTCCACTGAGCAACCACAAGTAAAAAGATTTATCACATTGACATTTTTCACATTTTCACAATTTTTCAAAATGTCAATAAGACAATATAATACATATGATTGTGTACTCTTTCATTATTATCATCCAGTAAACAGGAGGTAGAGCGGGTTGGCCGTTAATCGGAAGGTCGGCGGTTCAATCCCCAGCTCCCCCTGGTTGCGTGTCGAAGTGTCCTTGGTTACTGAACCCCAAGATACTGAACCCCGAATTGCCCCTGGCGGCTGTTACGCCAGTGTATGAGTGAGTGTGAATGTTAGTTTCCGTTTGAGCACTGAGGCTCAGTGTATAAATGTGTATGACTGGTGAATGCAGAAGTAGTATAAAAGCGCTTGTGGTCGATAAGACTAGAAAGGCGCTATACAAGTACGGAGCATTTACATTTAAATACAAGCAGCAGGGATGAAACAAATGTGCCACGATGGGGCAGGATGAGTGAAATGACCCTAACCCCAACCATGCAATATTCATCTAAACATCATCTAAACATCTTCAATATTACTGACAGCATAAATGGAGATGAAGTGCTGAGAACAGAAGTGATGGCCAAGAAAAGGTTTAAGGTGTGTAAGCACAGATGAATGAAGATATAATCCTCTCACTTTAAATGGATATAAATACAAACGCTTGCATTAGGAGTTTGTGTTGCTATGAAAGATTGATTTTCTTATGTACTATATACGCTGTATACATGTACAATGAAACAGGAATAATTTTTAGACCAGCAAATGTCTTAAAACTTACCATAGTATTCACTTGAATAAAGTTCATTATAGTTAAAGTGAAAGAGTGAAAGAATTTTCTTACAGCTTATGTCAGAGTTTGTCCTCTCTGCCCGGTTGTGTTTGTTGATAGACTGGATCCTCTTTAAAGATCCAGGCACCATCACCTTAAATCAACAAGAGAACATACAATTAAAACAATCAGAGTCTATAATCCCAGGACTTGGGTTAGGCGTCCTGACACCAGGTGGTTAAAAAATAATTTTAAGGCTAAAGTTAAATTAAACCCACCACAAGCTTTGTGCTTGAAATAACACATTCAATAATCTACAATGAAATGAGAGATAATATGTAAAGTTTCCAGTAAGTTTTGTTCTACACTGTTAAGGCTGAATCATGACTGACCAGGCCACAGGTCAACAGAGCTTCATCTGAGTTTATCAAATGAAATCTTAATAAGAATCTGGTTAAGACCTCCATCTCTTCGTCCTCTGTCACCAGGCAGGTTTTCAGTTTCTCAGGGTGTCGACATTTCTCTAGCAGGTCCAGGATCAGTTCCTGGTTCAGGCATTGCTGGGTCAAAAACAAGTGCTGCAGAGAGGGGAACGGCATGTAGAGGAGACACGGGAAGAAAAGGATGGAGAAAGAGACAGTCAGTAAGGATGAACAGAAACAGTAAGTAAGCAGAAGTAATGAGGATGAAGACAGTAGGCAGCGGGATTGTGGTCAAGACCAGTTCAGTCCAGTTCTGGTAGAGACTGAGACTGAGCTGTGAGCTGAACAGTTTTAAACCTGAAATAACTGATTTTTTGGCCACTTGGGGGCAACATATCATCTACTTTTAAGTTCATATGTTGTACTTTTTAGCAAACAGTTGCTTATGTTATACATCCAGAAGCAATGGAGCAACATGATCATTCATTTGGAGTCCTGTTTCTGTCCACCAGATGAAGTCCAATATTTATCCAGCCTGTCTTTTTGGTCTCTACCAACTGCTGAGACAAATATCTGCCATCTACTAGCTAGTCTCAAACTGTGTCTTTCTGCTGTTTTCAGCTGAGCAGGTAGTCCACAGTGTTTTCACTTTGTCATTTGATAAATTGCTATAGTAAAAATATCAATTATATCTGCTTTCGAGGTTTGATATCTCTTTCAGACTGGCCCTCATGACAGTGTGTACATAAACCTGAACACGAGCAAATGTGAGTGGTACTGACTGAGAGCATCTTGGAGGCGCTGGGTCTCTTCTTCGGGTTCCTCACCAACATGGCTTTTACAAAGTTATAAAACATGGATGACCTGCAGACAAAAGATATTTCGCTTGTATTTTATAACATGGAATTTAAGAAAAGACCACTTTTGATCTACATAGAGCTGAAAACCAAATACATACAAACATAATATGGGTGATTGTATTTACATCTTATTTATCTGCATATAATAAGACACCAGTGGAAAAACCTTCAACATCCACAGAACTTTTTTTTTTTTTTTTACCTTTGTTGAATTATAACAGCCTGTATACAATCAGATATATTTTATGTAAGCAGTTTTTTTTATCCGCCCTGCAGGGCTTTTTTCTTCTCTTATCTTCATTTGTAAACAACATACACTTCTTCATAAACATCTGTTAAAGGCTGAAAATATAAACGCAAGACAATGCAAATTGCACAACTTGACTAATACTGTAGGGACCATCTGCTCCCACGAATAAATGATAAAATATAATGAATAACAGTGTTTTTATTTACCATTTAGACTTGTCCTTCAGTTTAGGAGGCTGGTAGCCGCTCTTGGACATGAGAAACAGGACCCTGCAGGAAAAAACACAGTATACAGTCAATGAGAATCTGCGTGTATATATGACTCATGACTCAGAGATTCACTTTGGGGCCCACCAGACGTGTGGGTGATAAAAACAATGACCCATCAGTTTGTATGGGTGTTTGAAATGTCAACCTTTCCTGTGAACTACAAGTCAATGCAGCAGAGATGCAGACAGATAGGTTGAGCTTCACCAGGATAATATCACAACCATGATATTCATTATATCATAGACATATATAGATTCATTGAACATTGTTATTGCTTTTTGTTAACATCATCCTCATCAGTCCTACTTTCTACTAGTATCTCTCTCTCTCAACCCAACCGGTTGCGGCAGTTGGCTGCCCGCCCTGAGTCTAGGTTCTGCTTGAGGTTTCTGACTGTTAAAATGGAGTTTTTCTTGCCACAGTGCTCATGGTGGGAACCGTTGGGTCTAATAATAATAATACAAAGAGTACGGTCCAGACCTGCTTTACATGAAATGTGCAATGAGATAATTTCTGTTATGAATTGGTGCTATATAAATTAAATAATATTGAACTGAATGAAAACTGTTCACACTGAGGTCTGTTATGATTACCTGCACGGCTCACTGTAGATTATTCAATTCAATTCAGTTCAATGGGGCTTTTTTGGCATGGCATGGAAAACAGACGTTTACAGGGACGGACAAGGGGATGGGGTTCCCTACTGGACTCTCATCATCTTCACCGTCAGAGAGGACATTGATCCTCTTGTTGTCCATCTCAGCTTTCAACAGGAGAATGTGTCTTTAAAGGATTCCAGGTTGGATTCATTCCCTTAGATCATGACCTTTCCTTTGGTGTACCATGTGAGGGTAAGCAGAGGGTCATCCTTGTCATGGTGATCTTTACAGCTCTTTAATCTGCCTCCTGAGCCAAAGCCCTCGCTGGATTCGTATGTATAATTGCTGCACAGATGATCTTTCCAGATGTAGATGGAATCAGTAAAGAATATGAGATTATTCCTCTCCCTTCCTTCTTTTTTCTGGGCGTATTCAGCGAAAAGACCTCAGGGTTTTCACACAGAGTATTCTTGTGTTTCTCCCTAGCTGTTCCACTCTTACATTTATCCTCAATCTCCTTGCTCTCTGCTCTGACAGCTGTGCTGCAGTTAGCTTGTGGTTTTGATTTTAAAAATATATCCAAATAGAGTATATTTCCTCTTCTGTCCCTGTTGATTAATGCGGACCTCTTCTTTAGAGTCCTGTCTGAGGATTATTTGAAGGTTATATTTTGAAAGTTTTGCAAAATATCCCACTTTTTTAGGTTAAAAAGTTTGAGATTTACTCAGGAGCTCATCCTTGGTGCAGCTACTCTTATGGAATCTCTGAATCTACTCTTTACTCACATTTGTGTGTGTGCAGAAGCGTACACATGCTCAGGCATATGAGGTTGTGTCTATCAGTGTGTATTTACCGCAGTGGGTGGACATCAAACAATGGCGGCTGTAGCTCTGCCAGCTCTATGGCTGTGATACCCACAGACCATATGTCACACAGTTCATTGTAGCCGCCTTTAATCTCCACTGCTGCCACCTCTGGTGCCATCCTAATGAAAGGAAGGGAACAGCAACAACTTATTTTAACATCATACATGCTGATCATAACCAAGCAGAGCATATCTATAGTTACACTCCATTTTTTTATCATTAAATTGAAACATAAAAATCACAGTTACTGTGGCATCAAACTACAGCCCAGTGAAACCAGCTTGGGCAGAAAAGATAAAGCTCATCATGTGCTCCACCAGCTCAAGTGCATCAATTGTGCTAGACTGACTATAAAAAGATTATAAATTATCTGGGTTGTAGTATTAAACTTAATACATCTTAAATGTTGATCATATGCTGTATTCTATATTAGTTTGTTCATGAGTTTACCCTATGCATCAAAAGGTGTCAAGAAACGTTCCCTGCAGCCACTTGCAGTCATTTTGTCCCTAAATGTTCAGATTCAGGTGTTTACAGGACAACATTCAAAGCTGAGGAGAGATTCATCTCTAGGTTTTTGACTTTACCAATATGGCGTTCCGATGAAGGACATCCGCCGGGCCAGAGTGGCTGTGATCTGAGCGGAGATCCCAAAGTCAGCTACACAACAGGGGAAACATACAATTTTAATAAATAATACCCACAATTACCAAAGACACTTCTCAATAATTCTCTAGTATTTCTTCCTTTTTGGATTACGACAGACACATAGACATCATTAGGGGTTTGAGCAACTGCCCTTTTACTTCCTCAAAAGAAAGTGCTTTTTTCAGGGGTGGTTTTAAAAAAAGTATATATATACATATTACTTCTGTTTGCGCTCAGCTTCCATGACAAACAAATATATTTATTGCATAATAAAACTAAATATCAGGTCGGGAGATTAGACTTTCAAAGCCCTCTCTCTTGCCCTGCCCATCTCCTCAGCAGCCAGCTCACACACAGACAGGCAGGCAGCAGCTCCTCCCAGCTCCTATGTCATCTGGGTTTTTCTTGGCTTTTGTGGAGGTGAGCAGTGATCAACAAAATACTAAGCTTCCAGTGCCTTCAGTTTAAAATTAACAAATTTAACTTGAGTCTTGCTAACATGCTTGACTCATGAGATACTAGTGTATTAAGTTAGCTAAAGATTAGCTAAGGCAATATATCACGTCCATGCAGTATAATGTAGCCTACTGTACTTAATGGAGACCCTACAGATGAATACATGTCTAATAACGTCATCACAATCGCCATATTGATATGCAAATTAGGCTTTTACTAATTAAAATGCGCTACTTTGCATAATTTTGACAAGGCACTGCAGGTGAATATGATAAACAGAGCTTCCCCAGTTAATCACTTACATAAAGAGTCCTTTCCCCTGACATGTTATGTTTAAATATCCTGATTAACTTATTTTAGGTGATTTAGAAGAAACCTAGAGCAAAAAGATGGAGGGTAGTAGGCTTAAAACAAACACCATCAAAATGGGTATTCTGGAAGTTTTCTTTTAGAAAGAGTAAAAGAAAACATGGAAGCAAAATAGACCAAAATCTCAAAACTGACCACTACATGAAAAAAGTGTCCTGCCTTAAACAGTAATAGGGCTGATCCCTGAATAATCGAAGATTCGATGCTTTGATGGGCGGAGCCTGATTCGACTGTCAATCGCTCAGTTGAAGCTTCGCAGCGAAACAAGGATCATGCCATTTTGGTGATATGGGGGTGCTCAACGTCTGATTTTACATAGAACTACCAGTTTTCTCCCAAAGAGTTAATATACAGGCTATAACAATATACATTTCAACTTTTAATGATATAAATAAACATGTAAAAACACGCATGTGTAGGCGTAGCGTGTGTGTAGTGGCAGAACAGGAACACTTGCTGATGAGACAAAGCCCCAGCTTCACTGGTGTTGTGCTGAGTTTTCCGCAACCTGCAGGATTTTTGGATAATTTATGATCATTGATGAACCACACAAAGAATATTATATAATTTTTAAATAGCCGGCTACTTGAAATAGACCCTCTGCACAAGACCGGTGAATGGCAGGCGAGAAAACGGTCTTCAAAAAGCCTCAGTTTAGTAAGAAAATTTACAGTATAAGTTGAATGAATAGAGACTGCAGCTCTGCAGCTTGTCAAGATTAATGCGGAGCTACTGTATAAATAGCTAGAAACTAGTAGCATAGAAAACATGCACACTGTGGCGTAGTTTCCTTTGCTGTTGCCTGCTCTTGTGATAAATCTAGTGAATACTAAAGAAGACCATGATGTGAAGTGATTACCAGCACGTACCTTGAGATCCTCGGGCAGAGGTCTGCTGTCTGTTCCAGAGTCTCGACTGAAAACTAAAGGGGACAGAGCGTTTGCTGTCAGGGCCCCGAGGCTCTGGAACAGCCTGCCCGAGGAAATCAGGTCGGCTGAGTCAGTGAACTCTTTTAAGTCCCTTCTTAAAACATACTTTTATAGGAGAGCCTTTCCCGATCTTATTTGACTTTATTTTATCCCTTTTATTTTATTGTATTTTTACTAATTTTATATTTATCTGTATTTTAGTCTTTTCAATGTTTTCATGCTTTTATCTTGTATTGTTTTTGTATTATTGTCTCTTGGGTATTATTGTCTTTACACTTGTTAAAGCACTTTGTAACTTGTTTTTGAAAAGTGCTGTACAAATAAGGATTATTATATTATTATTATTATTTTGTATGAAACAAGTGTGAGGGAATTGAAACAAATTGGGCAGAAGTTAGTTGTGATAATGTATTTAACTATTTAGTCCTCCAAAATGTCTGTGCACGTCCCTGGATTAAGATATCAGCCAAAATGGTGATATGTAATGGAAATCATTTCAAAAGGAAAATAATGACTTTATCAGAATAATTCTTGTTAATTTCAGCCGAATATTAAAGTGTTATATTCAGACCACAACAAAATAACCAGTTGCAAACGCGGCAACAGAAGTGTGTTAATTGAGCCATCACTCTTGAGCCAAGTGACTCATTTTAACCACACTGGTAAAATGCAGAGCAGGCCGTGCATTCATCCACCTACCCAGCTTGACCTCGCCCTGATCATTGAGGAGGATGTTGGCACCCTGGTGGCAAAAAAGAGGCGAGAGAAACATCAACACAGACACGACCACAGAAACATCTTATCATACGAAGAATCTTCTTTACCCACTCAGTGATTCTTAACTAAACCCACACTGGACGGAAATCTGTTAACCGTAGATTTAAATGTCAACGTTTCTTATTTCCTAAAATATTATTCAACATAAAGTTAAAAGTTAAAATCAAAATATGCTGGATAAAATAACTAAATATTGCATCTATCAGCTGGTTCAACAAAAATATACAGATAATTAGACTATTATTGTTCATACAGACAGGTCGATCCCTAATCTTTAGCACAGTTTTATTCTTGTTTACATCTATCTCTGCTGGTGCAGTGACCCAGTTTTTCCAACAGCAATCTTAATGTTTCATCTGCTGTAGTCTAATGTGCAAATAAATGCAAGACACAAGTAAAAAAAATATGTAGAATAAAAGTCCCACATCACTGTCAGACATGTTCACCTTGATGTCTCTGTGAATCTTCTTCTGTGCATGCAGGTAGTCCAGGCCCTGGCCACGCACACACACAATTACACACACGCACACAAACAAATACAAACATTGAATATCACAAAACTGACAGCTGAGTTTGTCCACTAAATTTCACCCACTAAACACTCTTCAGCCATTAAGATAAAACAAAGAAGAGGTATTTTTTTTACTTTTAGATCATTATCAACAGTAGGAATTTTCAGATCTTTCATTGTAAGACCTCAGTTAATAATAAAGTGACCAGTGTGACCCTACCTGTAGCATCTCCCTGCAGATGTAGGCGATCTGCGGCTCAGACAGAGGACCAGTCACTGTGGAACACAATTTACATGTAATGTAATAATGATTCACGGCATTGTTTACAGCCTAGTCAGGAAAGTACATGACTGAAAAAGGGCAAATTAAGCGATCAGGGTTCATTAAAACAGTATCATGGTTGTCTAATGTTTATTGAGCGCTTTGCAGGATGCTTTGAATGGTGTTTAGAAACCAAAGTAAAATTGAGGATGTAACTGGTGTCACACCACAAGTTTAGACTCCAGACTTGCTTGTACAAAACATTTATAAGGAGGATTATTGGAAAATTGCAAGTTTTTACAGTCTTACTTGGGGAAAAGTTGGATATGAAAACAATTTACAGACCAGTTTTACTGTTGAAAGGCACTGAGAAACAACTTGGCTTTATAACTGACTGCACATTGAATAGTAAACCACTGTCTGGATTTGACAGTTATTTCTTTCTGAATGCCTTGTGAAATCGTGTTTGTCTCTACAATGACAGTGCTGACTAAACTGTTAGCTAACATTTAGCAACAAGATCGATGACACTGATCTCCTGTTTCTGCAGGAGACAGCAATACAGGAGGAAAGAAGTTAAGTCAAACCTTATCGTAAATTTTGAAGGGGTCATTTAGGTCCTAAAATGTATATTTAATGCCTCTTTAATCCTTTATCAAGTGTTTAGCTCAGAGCATTTCAAGATGTCTGCAGGATTTATGATACATTAAATTTTTCTTTTGCAGTTTAAGATGTTTGGATTTGTATTGTAGATCCATCAAAATATCAAATAGATAGAACTTTTGCATCAGATGAACAAAAACTATGAACTCATAAATGAATGAAAGTTTTCTCAAGTTATGTTCTTCAAATATTAGCCACACACAGGCAAACACTGACTGACCATGGTAGACATCCTGGAGGGAGCCTCCTCCACAGAACTCCATACAGATCCACAGTTTATTAGCTCTGCAGAGAGAACATCTCTATGTTAACCACGTTAATTAAGATTAATAAGAGAGGGAGAGGGGAAGAAACACAGAAACAGATCGCTTACCGTATGTAGCTGCCATAATATGCCACTATGTTGGGATGTTTGCAACTTTTCACTATGACAATTTCCTGCTGGATGATAGAAAAATCATCCTCTGTAGAGCCAGAGAGAGAGAGAATACATATTTATAAATGTCATCACCTTACATATGAGCACATTTGTAGTCAGTTGGTATACACAATACAGGCTAACATGCTTTTAGCTGCTTGTTTGGGAGAGTTGTACTACCAGTTCTTGATGACATCAAACTCTTGTGCTTTTTGAGTTTAAATTTAACTTAATTGTAAGTCTGTGTTAGCTGATTTAATCTGATGCAATATATACAGGTAGAGCACGAGCTGCCATGTAGTTAGGACCCAATTTCAGCAGAAAGAAAGCCAAGAAACTTTCCAAAGGTCTTTCCAAAGTAAAATAAATTCATATTGCGATACTATTGGTTAAACTTTAAAAGCTGTGCTGGGCAACTTTGGACCTTTGGTGGCCCCAAATACCAGAAGGAAGTATATGGTTCTTAAATCATCATCATCCCAATCCGTCATCAAACTGATCTCTGTCCTCTTACCGTGGACCCTCCATATTAAGGGGAAGGGTATAAACAGATAAACTATGAAATGTCCTCCACCATAAACATCTGCCACCATAAATACTGACAGTTACAATTCTTGTTCAGCTCTTAGATTATGTGCTACTTCCCTGTAAATGCATATAAACATCCCTGAAACAAGAAGCACAATATATAGAATCAACACAAAGCTCTTTTAAAAAAAAAAAAAACTGATTAATGCATTTTGGAGCTTAAAAAAGATGTAATTGCAGACTTAGACTCTCCCTTTTCTTGTTTGGGAACGTTCTTAACAAAACTAACCCTCTACGAAAGCATCCAAACGAAGGTGAAGTAGTAGTGTGAGGGAAAAGTGGCAGGAACGAGGCCCCTTGTATTTCTGTCCATCTTTTATTTATTTTAAGGTTGTTTTTAAGGTTCTCTAAAATTCCAGCCTGACACTAAACTAAAGAGTCAAGTGAAGTTGCATGATTGAAATTTAAAACAGATGAACAGAATGAATCTGCATGGTCTAAATAAGGAGCTCAGAGCGTTGCAAAGCCATATTGTGATCCAAGCTGATACAACAGATGCATTTTTACTTTGCTGCTTTAATAATAAGCATATATCATTGCTGTTTGCAATTCAAACTAATCACAGTGTCTGATTACACTAACAGTGGTCAGACAATGATGAGTGCAATCAAACTGTTGGAGGTGTAAGTGAATGCAGATGCAGCCCGTTTTCTGTGGTTACTGGTGGCGTTATCTTTGGAGTCTAATGGTTTATGGCTTTGATTAATATGATTTATGTCACTGTGGAAATAATGATGCTTATTATCAGTGCAGGCCTGCCTTTTAGCCTTTACTGCAGCGCAATGTTTTGTTGAAAGCTCTCGTATAATGGGCATTGGAGCCATCAATGTTGCTTTAAAACAAGTCTGGGGACTTTCACCAGAAGAAACAGGGATTATGCCCTTGCCACAGACTAGAAACATGCTTATCACCTAGGTAGGAAATCTATTAGCTAGTCTTTCAGTACCCTCTCTAGCCACAGGCCATGACTTTAAAAAAATGTAATCTAAAATGTAACACCTGACTAAAGGGAATGCAAAGATTAAGAAGATTTCAGCTATTTCCTAATATAATCAAATGAAAGTATAAACATCCAGATCAAATTCTCACCTGGTTCCATCTTGATGACTTTGATGGCTGCCAGCTCTCCATTCTGCTTGTTACGCGCCTGAATACACAAAAGCACGTATATACAGGTGATTATTTTTACACTGTAGCTGTCAGTTATTTGCTAACAGTGCATGTAAATGTGGTGCTTCTGAGATGTGTTTTCTTGTGCACCAGCAGGGCTTCATTTGCATGTTTGCTGTCCAGATCAGTGGAGTGCAAAAAACAGCCCACCACACCACTCTGTGGCATTTAAGACAGAAAAATGCATGCAAAGGGACACCGCTAGCACACAAACACTTTTACAGCATGTACACACACACACAAACAGATGAATATACACACATGCAGTGACCTTTAAAAATATGATACCAGAGAGTGGTCTCACTTCTCTTTGCTTATTCACACTGTTTGTAAACAGAAACCATAATATCCTTTACACATCAATATGTTCTAAATGGCCCCAAGCTGATTTTCTGTTGCAGGTTGACCATGTAAGTAGCTGGCAGTAAACTGACTTGCACTCAAACTGTCCTGCTATGCAATTAAATAATAAACAAACACTCTTATTATTCTTTATATATTTTATTCTCTACATTATTCTTTGAAATGTGAATGTTGTTTTGTCTGTAGTGAGATGAAAGTTGTGGTAAAACTTTCCGTCGTTAGACAATATTTATGTTTAAATTCAGCTTCAGAGAGTTGGCAGCTTGGTTAGAAACCAGCAGCCCACACTAGAAATTTTCATGGTAACCACTAGTTGGGAGGACCTCATGCTTTACAGTCCATCATCTTGACAACAAGTTATTTTCCTTTTCACAAAATGTTCACATTTAAAATATGTACTAATCTTAACCAGACACTGATGTATGATACATTTGATGTATATACATGTAGTTAGCTTGAGTGGTGAAAGGCACAATGGCTCAACCAAGAAATAGCACTAAAACTCAAACAGAAAATCAAAAGAAAAAGCTGTCTCAGTCCCCGCCCACAGGGTTTGATCAACAGGTGGTCAGTAAGGAAGAGCCCCAGCATCGAGTAACAAAGATGGAGACAAAATAAAATAAATAAATACCAACGTCAATCAGGTAGGTAAATGAAGAATAAACTCCTCTTTTCATTGGGTACAAAGGCTCTAGAGTGAGGGGAGAAGATTACTTCAAACATATACCAGACTACAGTTTAGACATGACAGCGCTGCTGGCTGATCCACTTCACTAAGAGGAAATACCCATTCACATTCTGTTACTCCTGAAATAGAAAACAGTCATAAGTGCACTTAAAGCAGGAAAGGTATATATAGTATACAGTAACAATGGAAACTTCACTGCCCTATGGAGGGAGTTTTCTAATCATGACAACGATATTTGATGGAGTCTGATAAAGTAACAGCAGAGTTGAAACCACAACACCATCCACTACCCAGCAGCACAAGGTTAGGACTACTATTTAAAGATAAATACGTAATGAATATTGTATTGACAGTTACGCATCTGTCATGCCCATATTTCCATGAACTTTTATAACAAAACAGGATGTTGTTACCATTTTAAGTTCAGCGTGTGTTCAGACGCTAATTAATGAAAAGAAACAACTTGTCAAAGACATGACTAGAAGGCAGGCGGTGGCCACCTCCGCTGTCAAAGCCCTGCTTTCATTTTAAAAATTTTAATTTAAACCACCGGCAGATGATAAACTGTAAGCTGACAGTTTGCAGTTGGAGACATTTTAATGTCAGCGGCGGTCTGTGCTCCACTCAAAGGCCTTTGACATTGAAATGGCACAGTGGAAAGTCAGAGTGTTGAGGCCGTGGTGGAGGATAAACAACTGGCTTACATTTATGAAAGATATTTTTACTTTCAGCATGCGTTTTCCTTATTTAATCGTGACCAACGGAACGCCAACCTTCCACAAACTGATCATAAAGGATCAGTTCAACAAAATCTCAATGCCCCCTAGAGGCATCTAGGCATGCAGGCTTGGTTTTATCTGCTGAGGCTTCTTTGAGATATTTATCTTTGAGAAACCCTCTGCTGTCCCAGTATAATGGAGGAGAATAGAATTTAGTTTGTGGTGCTTTTGGTAAATTAAATTTTAAAACTCAACAATGTGATTTTTCCAGAAACAATGCCCCTGTTATTCAGGTCATTACAGTGATCAGTTTTCAGTGGAACTACTTTCAACTTTCATTTTGAAAGCAATGTGGTCTGTAGGTTATCCAGAATAATCAGGTCATTGTTCCTGGGAAGAGATGTTAGGCTGTTCTCTAAATGTGATTTCAGTTAGTTTCAGCAGTGCAATAATATCTTAAAAGTGTTAGATACTATGAACCACTAGAGTTCAACATGGAAACAGGGCTGGACTGGGATACTAACTCTGGTAATCTGACATCAGGCAAATCTCCTCGCATTCACAACAGACCATGTGTAGCGTAACTGTTCTGTTGGAATATGTTTTCTGTTTATGCCAGTAACATATCTTTTAGTTTTTACTGCAAACCAAAACTACTTCAAAAACATCCAAAAAAGTTTGAAACAGCTCTACTGTTGCAAGGGTTAGTCAGATGCACCACTATAATTAGGGCTACAGGAATAAATTAATTATTATATAATTATTCATCATTACACCTGGCATTTCCTCAGATCTCTGAATGGACTTGTGTTGATCATAATGAAGGTCTGGTAGCTCTGAGTAGCTGGAGGTGCTTCCACATGACAGTAAAGTGTCTTTATTTTCAATCATGTTGAGTGCTGATGCCAGTTATTAGTCCATTCATCCAGTTCTTTTCTCATTTCAGTGCCCTCTCTCTCCTTCTCTCTCATGACATAATACCGTCAGGTTAAAGCAGGTGGAGGGGCAACAATCTACAGTTCTGAGTGACTAGCTAGCCAGTTGGCACTGCCATGACACCCCGGGGGAATTGTCCCATTGCCCATTAGCCAATCCGGGCTTGCATAAAAATGTAACCCTTCAACCTGACCAACTTGCTCTACCTGCTCGATTTTAAAGCTGCATTAAGACATTTTTAGCAAACAGTAACCTACTAACACATCCAAGATGTGCAACATGAGCATCCCGACAGAGTCATGTTTTTGGTCAGCTGATTAAATTAAAGTAAGTCCACTAGGCTAAATCTGGTCTCATCAACAACAACACCTGAGAAAAATATCTGGCTTTGTAACTGCTCCATTTTCTTAACCAGTCACTTGTCTAAGCTTGAAACAGCTGTCTACAGTGAGAGTAACAATAATAGCTTTGGCAATGTAAACGTCTGTTTCCCATACCAGTAAAGGCTTGTTGAACAGAAATGAATTGGGTAACTGTCAACATACTGTGTGCTGCCTCAAAACACAAGCGTTTAGTAGTATAAGTGACCTTTTTACATTACAGTAAGAGAGCTTTTTAATTTATTCACTTGGTGCTCACTTCAAAAGACAGTGTTTTAACAGTATGGCATTTAACTCAAAAAGGTTTTCAGTGTGTAGTTGAAGGTCAGTAGAGGCTGTAAGCTGCATGGGACTTCAGTAACAGTTGTCAGTGAAAGGTGTTTCTGAGAATGTTTAGTCACGTTTATCGTTAAAGAGTATCAACGTGTACAGTACCTTGTTGGACGTTATTACACAACACTAGTTAAAACTAGGGCATACAAGACTTTCATAGCAGATAAATATCTTCTGGGGAGCAACAGAAGCTGTGTAGTCATCGTGTCCCTACTCACATTTGGAGTACAGGACTGACAAATAAAAGCACTTAGTGGCTGAGAGGTACAAGTAAGATAAAGAAAACAACAGACAATGGAAAACTCCCTTCCATCAAGGAGTTTATGTGTGTCTTAGTGTGTGACATCAGAGAGGTCACTGAGAGGAAAGACGCCCAACTAGTGATCAGTAAACAACCAAAGTCACACACGAGTTGGACGTCACAGCGGAAGCCGCGGCCCTTCCACAGCAATATTTCCATCTTGATGTGTGTTTACTAGTTTCTTCTGATAACTAGCAAGGAGCGGTCTTTCCTTTCATTGACCTCTGTGATGGTGACACACGCTCTCAAAGCATACATAAGTTATAAGTAATATCACGATAGTCGGATTTGTTACTAAAGCCAGTAAAACCGGCAGGTTTGATCACATTTACGATCCTCCTCAACAGAAACAAGAGAGGAGGTGAGTGGAAATGAAGTGGACCCTGCTTGCTTCCTTTAACAATGAGCGGTTTAATATGAAAGGTCACGGGGAGACAGTGGTTGAAGTGAAAGGGTGACATAAAACTGACATAAAATAATATCTCATCACAGCACATTAACTTCAAAAACTTACCTCAACTTACCTTAACTACCTCACCTTTTCTACAGCAACACATCAATTATCAATAAACCCATACACCTAACTCTGTATTAACTCCAAATATAATATATAACCCCCCAAAATATATCAATTTTATCTCTGTGTTTGATACTTGATGACATGTTTACCCTAGCTTAGTTAAGAGACCGGTTGAATGTGTGATGTAACTATTTAACGTGTGGAAATAAAACAGACACTGTGGTTCAATGAGCAGTTAGCAGTTAGTTTGGAGCTATTAGCTCTGAGCTACGGTCCCCACAGTGACATTGCTAAACTTTGCACAGTTTTGTATTGCTTAATAAAAACTCTGGTGTATTAGGGACTAGCTTGCTATCTAACAAGGCCCATTTGCACATTTCACACACAAAGACAATTCAGTCATTATTTACATAATTAAATAACAAAAAGGAAATACAATATAAACCATTGACACACATTGAAAGGATAGAAACCATTAAAAAAGATAAAAGCAAAGATAAAGTCAAAGATAAGTTATAGGTAAAGATGTAAGTGCAAGGCGTTAAAAGTCATATATGTACGTTTGTTCCAGCTCTGTTGTATACATTGACTAAATACTGCTTCTAAATGCTAGACAAGCAGCAGTGCTCTTTGACACGAGTGCAGGGACCTCTGAATTTGGGCGATGTGTTTACTATGGTTCAATTCAATTCAATTCAGTTTTATTTATGTAACACCAATTCACAGCAAAAGTTATC